GTAAACACAAACATCTAGGTGTCTTTTTTTCTAACAACTGATCCTGGAATGACCATATTGAATATATAGTTTCTAAATCTTACAAAAGAATAAATATAATGAGAAAAATGAAAAATGTTCTTGATAGGTTTACACTTGAAAAAATTAACATATCATTTGTTCGCCCAATTCTTGAATATGCCGATGTCGTTTGGGACTCTCAAAATAAGAATTTGATTGCTAAACTTGAAAATATTCAGCTTGACGCAGCGCATATCGTCACGGGGGGTACTAAACTTACCAGTATAAACAATTTATATGTTGAAACTCGATGGGAAAAATTATCTGAAAGACGACGCAATCATAGACTTATTCATTATCACAAAGTTTTGAATAATAAAACCCCAGAGTATTTAAGAGACTTATTGCCCGAATCAGTAGGAAGTAGGCATGATCATAATACAAGACAAAGAAATAATATTACACAAGTCAACACACGGACCCTTTTATATTCTGAATATTTCATCCCAGCAACAATAAAACTATGGAACACTCTTAACTTAAACATAAGAAAATGTGAATCTCTATCATTATTCAAAAAACAAATTAGTACCCAAAATAGTAAGTTCCCAGCGTATTATTATATAGGACATCGTTTTGGTCAAATTCTTCATGCTCGCTTAAGAATGGATTCAAGTTCATTGAATTCTCAGCTATTCGTTCGTAATTTAGTAGACTCTCCAAACTGTCATTGTGGTGATGTAGAAACAAATTCTCACTTCCTGTTATCTTGTTCCATATACACTGATTTAAGACATGAACTATTAGATTCTGTTTCAGTTCTTCCTGTCCAAGTTAACACAAAAACTTTGCTTTTTGGATCAACGGTACTCTCAGATGAGCAAAATAGTCTTTTATTTAGTTTGGTGCAGAAATATATTATTAAAAGTAAACGTTTTAACCATTGATGTTAATGCTTCATCATTCAATAGGAACCCAAGCATTTCACACTGTATACATTACAATAATTCATGTTTATTTATTTATTTATTTTTTTTTTTTCTCAAAAAAAATTTTTTTTTTTCTTCTTCTTCTTCTTTCACCTTTTTCATATTCATATATTTATTACAGAGCATGCCAGTATTTATATTTATGTATTGTCCAATAAGTGTATTATTTTTGTAAAAGGAGACAGATTTGTAAAAGCAAATTGCTTGTTTCTGAATCCTTAATATTATTTCATTTGTATAATATCGTTTAATGTTGATTTATCTGAATAAATATTGTTTAAACTAACATATACCAAATATTTACGCGACGTGTTGCAATACAAAAATTACACTCAAGAACAAAATTTGGCGGAAGAAAAAAAAGAAGAAAAAAACCAATTGTTCAGAGAACAATGAAGGTCTTTCCACACTTCATTTCTAAATAATTGATAAGAAGCTTCTTCCATTTTAGTCAAAGTAACTACTGGCGTCCAATCATAGATTTCTTCATACTGATTCAAAAAAATATATGGTTTCTATATACTTTTGACTAAAATGTGGGAGATTATTTGCTACTTCCGGTAAGGAAAATGTTATTTCCGGTCTCATATGATAGCTTTCTTTGCACTGATTCCAAACATATATGGTTTTATTTTCTTTTGCCTTAAAAATGGGAGATAATTTGCTACTTCCGGTTAAGAAAATGTCATTTCCGGTTTCATAAGATAGCTTTCTTTCCACTGATTCCAAAAATATATATTTTCTATATACTTTTCTTCAAATATTGGAGATAATTCCGGTTTACAGACATCGACTTCCGGTGTCAATAGAAGGTTGTTGCATGCTGATTTTCAAAATATATAGTTTCTAAGTATTTTTCACTTGAATAAGTACGAAATTAGCTACTTCCGGTTTGTATAAGGCCACTTCCGGTTGATAGTTCAAGGTTATGTGTCACCCAAGCCTTTGCAATAGACACTATGGCTTAATCATGTACCAGAATGAAGTTATATTCGATTTACCTTAAATTTTAACATTTTATGGGCAATAACTCCTATATGATATCATCGGATCGCTTCGGACTGAATATACCATTTCTTTTTCTCAACAACCCAAACATTTATCATGACCTTGACCTCAATTTTAAGGTCATCAAACAAGGACCTCATATCAAACAATTAAGTGAAATTTTTTTGTCGATATCTATTACAGTTTCTTAGGAGAAGCATGCACAAGCAAAAGCAAAAAAATCAAAACATGACCTTGATCTCTGACCTTGACCTTATTTTCTTTTTGATGGACCCAGGACCTCAAATCAGAAGACCCTACGTCTCTATCACTAAATATTTATGAGTTTCTATTACATTTCTCGTATGTCAAATACATAAGGGGAAATAACTCTCATATGATATGTTCAGATCTCTTCGATCAAAATTATTCTTGACAACCTGAGAATGTAACGAGTAATTTGGTAAAATAAATTTGTCGTAATCTTTTACAGTTTCGAAGGAGTAGTACGCACAAGAAAAACAGTGTTTGGGGAGAAAACTCTTACACGAGGAAGTGTTCAGTTAAGCGATGTCAGTTTCAAATGCGTATACACTGTTCGATATCATATGCAAAAAATTTAAGCGACATCTTTTGAAAAAAAACAATACAGCGCATGAAAAAAATTAGACAGAAGAAGAAAAAAAAAAAAACAAAACAAAAATAATCAGAACAAATCCTAAAGGTCTTTCCACGGAAAAGTGGAAAGACCTAATAATCAGAACAAAAGCAAAAGGTCTTTCCACGGAGAAGTGGAAAGACGTAAAAAATTGAAAACTAATTGAAGGTCTATCCACCCGAAACGATATATATTTTGATATGAAAATAATAAAATCAGGTATTATATGTTTTTTCCAGTGTCAAATACTAGCTTATTGTATGCTGACTCCAAAAAAATATATATATAAAATATATGTGCTTTTGTTTGAAATAAGGTAAATAATTTGTTACTTCCGGTTTCAAAAAGGTCACTTCCGGTATTATTTGATAGTTTACTTGACACTGATTCCAAAAAATATGTGGTTCTATATACTTTTTCATTAAATAAGTACAAAACATAGCTACTTCCGGTTAGCTTTTTCAAGGTCATATGGCTTGCTACTTAATGCAAAAAGTCCCATGGTTTAATCATGTATACATATGAAGTTAAAGCAAAAGTCAAATTCTAGAACGTTAAATTTACTTATGACTTTGACCCCAATTTCAAGGTCATAAACCAATTGCAAGGACCTCAAATCAAGACCCTAGGTCTTTATTATATGTAGTGAGTGAGTTATATCCTCATACGCGTAATATTAAAAATAAGAGGGGAGAAAACTCCCATTAAATGTCAACTTACCCTTTCGTCCAAAATTTATGTGTTACGACATGTGGTAATTAACAATTTAGTAAAAATATGTTGTCGATATCTTATACGGTTTTTGAAAAGAATTGACATAAGCCAAAATCAAAATTTAGAATATGACCTTGACCTTTGACCTTGACCTTATTTTCTTGTTTTTGGACCAAGGACCTCAAATCCAAGGACCCTAGGTCTCTATCACTTATGGTTTCCCAGGTACATATGCATATCACTTTTAACAAATGCATAATGGGAAATAACTCTCATATCTAGTCTCCGGAACGCTTCGGTCAAAACCAATCTCAACATCCTGAGAATATAACGATCAAACTGGTGAAATAATTTTGTTGTTATCTTTAACAGTTGCGAAGGAGTAGCAAACATAAGCAAAACAGTGATCGGGGAGATAACTCTTACAAAGAAATGTATTCGGTTAAGCGGTGTCAGTTTCGAAAGCGTATAAACTGTTCGATATCATATACCAATTATCAAATCGACATCTTGCGAAACAACCAAACAGCGAAAGAAAAAAAAAAAAAATAGGCGGAAGAAAAAAAAATAATCAGAACAAAAGCAAAAGGTCTTTCCACAGAAAAGTGGAATGACCTAATAATCAGAACAAATACAATAGGTCTTCCCACAGAAAAGTGGAAAGACATAATGACCGTAAACATATTAAAAAGGAGCAATAATTTCTTATTTGTTTCAACGTTTGGTAATGTCGATTATTGTCAAAAATTTTCCTAGTGCAATTCATCACCCGACTATTTTGCATAGAAAAAATAAATCTTGAATATGAATTAAATTACACCTTAAATCACATAAGTTTATCAAAGAAGTCAAATACAATTGTATTTCGTTATTGAACTGTAGTTGAACAGATTCTTTAATCATAATTATATTTTTTTATTAGTAACCATTTTTCACAATTATTATATAAGTTTCAAACATTATTTTCAATTTCATCGAACGATATATAAATGATATCAGTATGCTAGTTAACGTTTTGAAATTTTGGTTTTTACTCCAGTGTTCCTGCCTAATAAATATAGATTATTTTTGTAACTACATCTAAATTTATTTTATCAGGAAGATTACTTAAAATAATTACATTTGTACATGTACCATTGATTCCATTAACATGTACCCGAATAAGTCAGAACTTACAAGCATCAATGTATTGATTATATTCGTTTTATTCCACTTATGATTGATATAAATAAGAAGATGTGGTATGAGTGCCAATGAGACAACTCTCTAGCCAAGTCACAATATATAAAAAGTTAACAATTATAGGTCAAAGTACGGCCTTCAACACGGAGCCTTGGCTCACATCTTCACCCTAACCTGAGACAGTAGTGTAACATTACAAGTTATAACATAAAAAGACACACTATAAAATATCAATTGAAATGGCTTAACCCGATCAAAAAGACATTTAATCAAAAACAAGTAAACATACACTGAACGAATAAGTTTGATCTATGACACAATATAAATACAATATTAAAACGTAGGTGCCTGTTATGTGCCTATATAACAGTGAGTTATTGAAAAGTTACCTAAGTGCAAAAATATTGCTCTTTAATATCTTTTAATTCTAGTGAAAATAGTTTCTCATCATAAACATTTAAAAAACTTACCGAGAAACTGTTCGGACACTTTTTCCTTCCAAGCCAACATACCGATTAATTGTTTATTAATTTGCGACACCGTCGACTTTAACGACTCTTGTTTTTCTTCGACGACGTCATTAAATTTGTCAATATATGTTACATTTATAGCATCATCAATATATTCCTTTAACTGCTGGTTCACCATTGACACGTCCAGTTCAGCTATTAATGGAGCCTTTAAGTTGTCTGACACTAATGGCATTTTAACTGAACGACACCCAGAGTTAACACATGGTTTAGCCAAATTCCTTTCCCCCATTGTAAGCAGTACAATCAAAATAATATAAACTGTACGTGTTTCCATCGTGAAAGCCATACGACCTTTCATTATATCATGTCAACAATTCATATACATGTAAGTATAAACGCAGTGATCACGACTAGAAACCTGGGTTTCAACATGTAAGTTGCTAATGAGCAAAGCATGACATATTATTTACATTAAATTGCTATCAATTTTATATCATTCCTTTTTTTTAAGGAGCTGTCTGGCAATAACAGTGGTTCTTTTAAACGTGTTTACAAAATTAAGATATGATACTGTCAGATATAAATGATAGAATAATGTTTGCTTAGTTAAATCACAAATAAAATCTTTACATATTTTGTAAACACAAATGATTGCCCTCGATATATTTGTTGTTGCTTTCGTTTCTTTGTGTATTAGCTTTCCAATAAGGCTTCTGTGAATAATACTCTGTAATCAATTTTTTGATAAAAGGACACGAGACAGCAACATAACAACACAAAAACAACATACGGTTTTTAATAGGTGTCCATACATTAACCATTGTATGTCAAGCTCTAAATAGACCCGAAATAAGAAAACTAGTAAATGCTTTAGTGAATAGCTAAAGATCAATTGCTGATGCAATCTCAATGTTTCCCTTTAAATCTTGATCGTAGGACTATATATGTAGCTAACAAAAGGTATATAAATAAAGAACATGCAGGAAACGACTTTTAGTGTCTTTGGTCTTTTTGTTAATAGTCTTTTATGTTTAGTGTTAAACCCTTTCCAACACATTGTTACAGTGTGTTTATTTATTGTGATGTTACATCCATTATAAATAGAGGGTTAAGGGCTCACTATCATGTTTTTATTTGCATATCCCAAGTCATAAGCCTGTAATTCAGTGGTTGTCTCTTGTTGATGTCGGTCATATTACCTTTTTTCATATTGTTTTCGCATAGACTAGGCCGTTAGTTCTCTTTTTTTTTGCTTTTTCGAGTTATTTGCACATTTTATCATAATGGGATTTTAAACTTACTATACTATGGCACGTCAAACGTTTCAATATTAATAAAAAAGAATAAAAAAATACTGATAAAAAAAAAATATGTATAAACTTACAAATATATATGCAATATTTGTCTATATATTCAAAAAAATAAATTATGCTCAAAACTAACAAATATATATGCAATATTTTTCAATTTATATTAAAAAAATATATATGTAATATTTTTCTACTTTATTCAAAAATGATTTTTTATGTGCAATAATTTATAAATGTGGTTAAAAATTATATAAATTCAATAATTTTGCATTCTGGGTAATATTTGTAATGGAAGCAAGACAACTCGCCCAACTGCCAAATCGCCCTAACTTTCAACCAACTCGCCCATTCATGTTTAGCAACTCGCCCCACTTATGAAAAAGAATCAAGGCCTACCAACTCGCCCCATTTAAGAATTAAATGAATACTGATAAATACCGAAAGGCATCTTGTTTTTTCACTTCTTTGCTTTTGGTTGAAACAAACCAGAAAGAAGTAAGTATCAACGTTTCTGTTATGTGCGATGGTATTGACCTTTGTCACAATATTTGTATACTTTACGAAGATGTTGACGTTCTAAACGCACCAGTTCCCAACCGTTCGCAAATGTTACCAATCCGTTTATTGATACAAGAACAAATTGCTGTTAAAATTGGAATCCTTAAATTGTTATGATAAAATATCGCATTATGATATAATCAACTGGTTTTCATTTTGCCATTATCATTCACATATGTAAGCTTGCAAAAATTTCTCAAATGAATACAACATATTATAATATAATAATAAATAAATCTACAATTTTATTTTAAGAAACGAAGCATCATTTAATTTCAATCAGAATCATATGTTAATTTTGTTAATAGTATAAGTGCTTTTTGTCTATTGTTATTTTAGCAGTACAGTTGGGGATATTGTGTAGATAAAATTACTTTTCATAATGGGGGAGTTGGCAGGACTAAATTAACTAGGATTTTACTCTTTTTCATAGTGTGTCGAGTTAGCAGGACTATATTCAGCAGGATTAAACTCTTTTTCATTAGTAGGGCGAGTTTGCAGGCCTAAATTCAGCGGGATAAAACTCTTTTCATAAGTGGGACCAGTTGGTTTAGATGAATGGGCAAGTTGGTTGAAGGTTGGGGCGATTCAGTCTGGGGCGATTTGTCAGTTGGGCGAGTTGTCTTGCTTTTATTACTATATTACCCAGAATGCAATTATTGAATCTTTATATTTTTTACTAAATCCTGGGACATAATATATAATAGTCCCAGCTACACCTATACATAAAATATTGCACACATTAATTTTTTGAACATATATAGAAAAATATTACATATATATTTGAAAGTTTTGAACATAATTTTTTTTTTAATATATATAGAAAAATATTGCATATATATTTGTAAGTTTTGAACATACTTTTTTTTATAGTAGAAACGTTTGACGTGCCATACTATACATACGGTAATAATTACATTACATGTATGTTTCATTATAATACGTTATTTTGATTAGCTAACAGCAATCTCGCGTCATTGTGAAATTAACCTATATTTCAAAATGAAATGAAACAAGCTTCCACAATAAAGTTCACACGTAAATAAAAGAAAAGCTTGATAGAAGTCGTGTTTTCATTATCCTAGCAAAAAAATGTAATTATAATTATCGAATACTTCTTTAAGTAATTGTATAGGGTTGTTAAAGCGTTGACCGTGCGCACATTTTTAGAATGAAGCGCTTACGCGCTTCATACAAAATGTACTTCGGTCAACGCTTTTACACCCCAATAAATTTACAAAAAGAAGCATTCAATTCTTAAATGAATTTGATATTTTTTGAAGACTGTATAGTAGACTTGAAGGCCGTACCTTGACCTATCATGGTTTACTTTTATAAATTGTAACTTGGATGGAGAGTTGTCTCATTGGCACTCATACCACATCTTCCTATATCTATTGAGTTGCTTAATTCAACGTCCCTTGGTATTCATACGACATCATCTTTTTTATATATTAAACATCAGTTCTATAGAATTTCATGAAATCTGTCCTATCTTCTATTTTATATTGAAAGCATTTAATATATATTTGTTATTGAATCTCCGGTATAATGCAAATAAAGAGTTTACCAGTGCAATGCTTAAAAGAAATTATTGAAAATAAGGACGCTCTGCAATTTGCTAAAGATACATAATAATGAACATAACTAGACATGCTGACAGTTTAAAGTTTGCCATATGGACACCTGTCTATTGTTAAAGACTGTATGCTGATCTGTGGTTGATTTTGGTTATTTGTGTCGTTGGGTTACTGTATGTACGTCGATGAATAATTTTCTACTCCCTGTGTTATATATTATTTGTAAACTCCTTTGAATTGTGATCTGCTGCTTAGCATGAACAACTGTAAAATCTATGGCCAGTAATTCACTGCGTCATCCGTATAATGTCATGTATGATGATGTTACATATTTGTTTTTTTTTAACTGAAACAAATGTGTGCCATAACAGGACAAAATGACAATGATAACGTAGGGAAAAATGTACACTATACAGTGACACATTGAACATATTCGTTACCATCTTTTCTACGGATATCCGTAATCCTTATTATAAATTCGAATCACGAACGATTGCTCAGAGCTTTACTTTTGAAATTCAATTACAACCCAACAAAGGGCGTGTTTCATTTAATATTGTAATTGCACTGGTATTGTGAAACTTATGAGATTGCATAAATCTGTAATGTTATTAATATCTTAAAAAATGATAAATATTATGAAAATTTTAATGATATTCTTCCGCGAAATCTTTCATTCCAACAAGTTAACTTCCTTGTAGATAACATTCAATTTGAACAAGTACTTTGATCTTGAACCGTGAGTTATCGGAACTTATTACCTTATGAATTAAATAAATAGGTCAACTATTTCCATTCATAACCACAATGACGATAATTAAAAGTAATAATAATAAGAAAAAAGCAATTAAGAAAAACAAAATTATTATAAGAAAAATAAATATTCCTTTTTACTTTGTTTGTAAAAATGCACACAGATATATGAAAGATATTTAGGGTGTACAATAAAGTGATCGATATGATTTTATGAGTTATGAAACAAATCATTGACCTATATGCACATTCCCAATCTATTTAAAACATAGTTCTCTGATTTCATTATACTCATATGTGTACGAGCACGCGAGATAATATAGGTGTGATTTTTTTTTTTTTTTTTTTTTTGCAAATTCCTTTTCATACATATTTTAATGTTCGAAGAGTAGACCTTATCTATTCCCTTAACTTTTTAATCTATAAAGTTATGGTAACCTTTAAAAGCGGTTATTGTAAACTACCATTTAGAATCGAGTACAAACTGTTCTTTTAGAAAGAACAGTCTTGCTTATATTAATAAAATTGAATATAAATTTCCATATTAAACATTTCATAACAAAAAGAAAAATACTGAATTTAGCTCCGGTCATATAAACAGTCATTCATTGTTAAGCGCTTTCCTATGACACAAACATGTACAGATCAATGCTGGGTCGTCCGCGTCCGTCCTCCGTGTTACACCTTTGAAAATGTCACAACATTATTCCACTAAACCATCACAGATTCTTCTACAAGTCTCGAAATAATGCACATTCTATTTTATATAAGGTTAGTTCTGAGTAAATTTTAGTGCTTCCCATTCCAAAATATTGATCTTGCAATGTCTTCGTACTATATTGATAGGAGACAGCAGACGACACACGTCTGCTATGAAAACTCAAACATTTGATCCATTATGTGGTTCTTTTAAATTACATGACACTGAGTATGGAATTTACTTTAAATAACAAATGCATATTAAAATCTCTAATATGTTCATTTGTTATCTCTTACATTGTAATCTTTTGACGTCTGTCGTACGATATCAGTGTAAAATATCCTCCATAAAACCAACTTTCTGTTTAAAAAACCCGTAATCATATCGAACAACTACAAAGGCCAGCATGGGAACAGGGTTTTTCATATTTATAATGTTCTTTTCTTTTATATTTGTGTTGCAAATAGTTGGCTTCTTTTCCCCAAATTGGGATATACAGTGTGTTAAAAATTATACTTCAACAATTGCTAATTCAAACAACGAGACATGTTTCTACCAAGGATTGTTTTATGGATGCAGCGACAGCGGGAAATGTAGAGGAACAAACAGTAAGCTAAACACTACAAACATTTTGCTGGATTTAATCCACAAAAACACGTTGATTTCAAATAGTTTAAATCAAAAAATTAGTCTTATTAATGATTTATATTGCTATCAAGATTCAGGAAATATGTCTTTATAGAGTGTTTTTTTTTTTTGGGGGGGGGGGGGGGGGCATTTATTTGTTATGTTAACGGCAATGATAACATTTTATATGTTTGTAGACTATCAGTCATCGAAGGTACAATCCATCAAGTAACGTATACTATAGCACTGACATTTTTAAATGATAAATCTATGTTCATTGCATTATATATCATGTTAAAACTAAGTGTTTTTATTCCGTCGAGAAAAATTGCATTACCATAATATATTTAAAACCTTCGTTTACTAAATTCTGCAATAGATATAAATATTCGTAAGTATGGCTGTTCCAAAACTAATTACAAATGCGATTTTACATCCTTATTTTTACTGTTCTGTAAAGTCCGTAAGGTAGATACAATTAATGTTAACTCATTGATCCTTTGAATAAACTTTTTCTAAAAGGTTATCAATTTAACACCTTTGTTGGATCTTTTAATATTGTTTTATCGGTACTTATATAATTGTGTTAGACATAATTAAAAAAAAAAACATTTATTACTTTACAGATATAACCGATCCAACATCCTGCCGATACTTATATTTAAGCATTTTACAAGTCATGTTTTTTCTCAGGCTGCTGTTAGTGGAGTTTTTACACTTAATCCATAGGATGTAAACTGATTGATAGTCTAGTCTGGGAAACACTGTAATTGGCTTTGAACTAGCTTTTGGTCTAGGATCGGTACTTTGTGTTTGGCATCTTTTTGTTAGCCATTGTTTTTGTTTTGTGATTTTTTTTCCAAGCGATTTTTACAGTTTTTTCATATGGTGTGCTGTTACAGAACTGTCCTTGGTTAGGGGAGATTGAACGCAGCTTACGCTCGGACACATGTTTGGCATTGCCACACATTCTCTAAGTGCCTGACACAAGTCATGAGATTGTAATTCATCGGATAATTTGTTGTTGTCTGTCATATTTCTTTTTGGTTAATTGTTTTAGACATAAAACAAGTTGATTTTCTCGTTTAAATTGTTTTCCATAATGTCATATCGGGGTATTATAGCTTACTTAAAGGTATGGTTTAGTTAATTGTTGGAAGCCGTTTTGCGACATAGAGGTGCTTACATCTACGCAATTTGGATTTTGTTGGATAGTTGTCTCATTGGCAACGTTAATCATATTAAATCTTCTTATTCCTATATTAATAAAAATTTGGCCGTTCTGTTTAAGTGTTTTGCTTTCCATCTGCTTAAACTTTAAAATATTTGGCTAGCATCCTGTCCCATCTTTTTTTTACCTGAAAAACATTAATATGAGATGAAATTAAGTAAATAAGAAACACTTTCCATGTAAAAGTAAAAAAATGTACCAAAAGGCCAGGACTTTTATCAATATTGGTGTCAGACGGTTGCTATCAGATCCTAATTTAAAACAAAAAACACTTAAAACTGAAAATAATAAGCATTGCAATTATTAAAAATAACAAATGGACGTCAATTGATGTTACCAAATAGCAAAAATGAACTAAGACAACTGGCCGAAAAATACTGAGCTGATATATAACTGAGAAGTTAAGAGACCATAAGTCGACGAAAAACTGGAAACATCGGGGTCAATGAAAAACTACGAAAATATATGCAACAGTACACCAATCAAAGCCGGATTGAATTCATGTACTCACGTGGGTCAACTGTTTCTGCTTAACGACTGATACCGTTTTTGTACTTGTATTCCGGTTTTTGAAACAGTGCAGTTTTTGTATTAAAAGCGTGAAAATTGAAATAAGAAAGAGCCCTCCGACTAAACTATAACCCCCCCCCCCAAAAAAAGTTTACATTTATAACAGGAACAGTATCTGCTAAACTATGCGCAAGTAAAACTCCATTATAAGTCAGTCTATTTGTACCATGTGTTGTTGTTCGTTGTTGTTTGTCTTTGCTTGTCTGCGTGTCCATTATTTTCGGAGGAGTTATGTGTTGATGGTTAATGTAGATGATGTTGTATTTTTTGGAGATTCCTGTTAACTCTTTTTACGTATAATCCAATTTAAGCTTTCACTTGATGTATATTGTAGTGAATTGAAGTATTCAGTATCATATTCAAATACTGTTGTCTGATGAACTTATCTTTTTCCAGTTATAGACAGTAGAGTTTTTGGATTAGAACTGGCCATAATTCTTGGGAATATTGTTGTATTGGTCCTATTGATACTTGTCTTGGCTCATGCATACGAAGAGAATAAAAAGTCAATGAAGCAAGGAGCAATGTTCTTGTTTGCAATTACAGGTAAACTATTATAGAAAGCCACCATAGTATTTTTCATGTTTCACGTAAAACAACTTCAAACAAATCTAAAGGTCATATTAAGAGAACATATACAAATAAAGTATATATATTATCAATTCACTCTTAATTGCCATTACACCATACATTTATAGCATGTGACACAACATAACAAAATAAAAAACAAACATCATCAACAGGAACATGAATGAATGATTTTATTTTCATAAACTAGTACATAGTTACAGAGAAAATAACAGTTCATATATAATACATATTTTGTTTCGCATGTGTGAAAATAAATAACAATATAATAGTATTACACTTCCTCTAACCAAGAAGACAGACTTTCACTGATATGTATCGTATAAATCTACACACTTTTTCTAGTTCAACAACATTTTCAGATGAGAATATATGATTAAATTTAATAATGTTAGCATTTTTTTTTACAATAATGTGGTAAATATTTTTCTCTTTCTATGTTGAAAAAATTGCATCACATAATGTATTGAAACTCATCTCCAATATCTGTCGAGCTGCAGAGGTAACAAGACCTTTCCGATCTCGGTATAGTTTGCCATCTTGCCGTCTCTACAGGCAAACGATGATTTCCACATCTAGATTTACAAAAGTATTTAAAAGATTAAAAGGCAAAATCGATAAATGCTTTTCAAATTGGAATTCAGTCTTGTAAATTTTATAACATAGACCTTTCGAGGATTGATGTAAATCTGCAAACCAGTCTTGTCGAAATTGGTCTTTTAGTTTTTGTTCAATACTTAATTTTATCCATTTTTTGTAGAAATAATCTTGGCAATGCCATACATTTGACATGCCACATTAATCAAATATTTTCTTAATGAATAACATCCATTTATTTCCAATGCCACAACTTTTATAATTAATGTATGATAGTTTATAAAGTATACAGGATCATTTATCTTCATTTGTGTTATCAAGAAGGCGATACCAAAGTTGATCATTCGTAGTTTAGCATAAATATAAATAGGGTATCTCTCAAGTTCTCCATAAATCATAAAATTTGTAGTCGAGTTTTTAAGTTTTAAAATGTGCTTACAGAATTTCAAATGCACTCGCTTAAGTATATCAAAATTTTCGTATCCCCAAATTTCAGCCCCGTATAGAAGAATGGGTACAACGGCTTTAACAGACATTTCAAGTTGGCATTCAATCGATAAATGATTTAATCTGCTCTTCTTGATAACATTGTACATAGCTTTAGTAGCTTGGTCTCGTAAATATTTCCTCGTTTCGAAAAAGATGCATTTCTAGAGAAAATAACACCAAGGTATTTATAATTTTTAACTATCTCTATTTCTTCATTTTCAATATAAAACTTCAATTATTATTTATTCTTCCTCTTGTAAAAACCATAACTTTGGTTTTGCTAACATTGATTTATTATTTCCAATTAATACAATACTGTGAAAATTATTTAAAAGTAACTGTAAATTTGAACATCTTCACCAAGTATAATAGTACCATCGGCATATAATAATACAAACAGCTCTAAATACTGCTGCAAATCGTTCAAATATAGAGAATAACAGAGTAACCATGTCGGAAGCCGGCTTGATTTTCATTTAATATATTCAATTCATCAACGGAAAAACCCATATCATGTATATACATAATGAAAGTAAATATTTAAAAAAAAAAACCACTTGAATGATTTTTTTCTCCCTCGATGCAATATGATATACTTTTTACACAAAGGGTAATATTTATAAATTTCAAACAAATATATCCAGATGTCAAATTATAATTGTACTTTCTTTTATTTTACGTTCTTAATTTTATTTTTTGTAGAGATAATGAATATTGCTTCGACAATAATCGTTTGGACGGAAGGTTATGATATGGGTTGGAGTTGTTGGGCGTCTTCCTGGTCCGCAGCCATTCTTATAGGCATCATTGCGTTAACATGTATCTGTTGTTGTCTGTCACTCTATGGAGATGAGGAAGAAGATAGCCACAAACGTTATTTTATCTACTATTATGTTGTAGAAGTAGATTGAATCATTTATCGTGAATAAAACAAATAATCTTTTAATTTATCTATCTATTTTTTTTTATCTATTTGTTCTGAAACTACCATACCAGTTTTATCATAGTACACAGTAATCGTAGATTTATTTATTTATTTATTTATGTTAACGATATGTTATGCTTAAAGTATGAGGTACACTTTGAGTCATTATCTGTCCCCTGGAATTGCAAAAAGTAATCAAGCCTTTCAAAAATATTGTACAATTTCTTGATCAATGGACAGTTGATAAGTTCCAGACTATAATGTCATAAATATGTTAACATATTTGACATAAAAAGGCCATTTTTCTCATACATGTAGATTATAGTCCAAATACAAGGCAAAGGCCTCACCTAAAACGATATTTTACACAAATTTACATATTTATAAACTGCTTCTTGCAGCAGACTATTTTTTTTGTGCACAAAATGCCGGATGTTTGAAACTTTCTGGCAATATGTAAGACAAAATTCAAAAAGAATTTTCATTCTGCTTCTAAACAAAGATTTTCAGATTGAAAATGGAGAAGAAATAAGAAAGTTCCATTTGTCGGTTTCGCTTCGACTTATTCTTTATATCTCCAGCCCTTTTTTCAATTGCTTGTAAATTATTACAAGTATAAGAAGGATAGTCAATGCATTTATCAGAAACAAAAGCCTGTTTAAAAATATGCTTTAAAATATAAGGAAAAATTGAAAAAAACAAACAATAGACCACAAAAAATTAATGGAACTCAAGTAATCTTAAAGGGTAATCATTTTACAAGATACAACTAAACCACTTATGCAAAAATTAACACAGGTGCTTTTGAGGATAAATCAAAGAAGAGGTAAATGAGGCGGAATTGTAGTAAAAGAGGGACGAAAGATACCAGAGGGACAGTCAAACTCATAGATCAAAAACAAACTGACAACGCCATGGCCAAAAATAAAAAGACAAACAGACAAATAATAGTACAGATGACACAACATAGAAAACTAAAGACTAAGCAACACAAACCCCACCAAAAACTGGGGGTGATATCAGTTGCTCCGGAAGGGTAAGCAGATCCTGCTCCACATGTGGCACCCGTCGTGTTGCTTATGTAATTACAAATCCGGTAAGTAGTCTAATTCGATAGGTCACATTCGAGAAAAGGGAAGGGTATTGTAGTTACGACATAAGGAACATATCCGATATCATCTGTGAAACGGTTATTCAATAACGGTCAACCAACTCGTGATGGCGTCCGTAAAATTTACGAAGGGATGATTTCAACTTCACCATTTGGAACTCTTAGTTGAATAGCTTCCTTGTGAGCAGCAATCCTCTATCAAGGAAATCATGATGGGAAATACAAGCCCGGGATCATCGTATCAATTTGGAGATATCTATACTCCGTATGCAGGCGCTGCTGGAATGTTGCTACGTAGAAATGGAAAGTTCACAATTGGAAAGCTGAAATCATCTCTTTTGTCGTAAAGTTTTGTTTTCAACCGACCCTCATTGTCAATTTCTAGATGTAAGTCAAGATATGAGGCAGACTTAACTGTATCTGTAGTATCCTTTATCTCTAGTTCGATGGGATAGATTCGTTCAACATAGTCACCAAATTTTGTATTATTTAGTGAGAGAACATCATCTATATAGCGGAACGTAAAGTTAAAGGATATTGCTAACTTCTCATCTTTCTTCCTAAGAAGTTCCTGTATGAAGTCAGCCTCATAATAATAAAGAAACAAGTAATCTGTGATGACTCAAATTTCCATACCGTCAGCCTACGCATGATATTAATGGCGCAACCAACCTGTCGATCAAATAAACTCAATTTTTATTAGAACCGGTGGAAAATATACATTTTTGATACATCGGCTGATTGTCAACTTCTAAACACGATTCAAGTTAAGGTATGACGCCGTCTAGCTTTGTATAGTGCTTTCATTACACCACTATACATTCCAAATATGTGCACCAATTAAGAAAAATAGTTCATTTCTAAATTACGACCTGCAACAATGATCTAAACTCATACCATACCATACCCACACTATAATCATAAGACATTAAAACTAAAGGCTCAAAAGAGAAAAAACCTGGATATATTTGCACTTTCAATAATGGCCACTCGCAAACATTGTGGTCTAGAATATAATTTATGACTAAAGAATTGTTTTGTTGGTCTTATCTTGCTCATTTTTGTCGTTTACAATTTTTCTTTTTATTCACTAAAGTTTTCCCCAACAATGGAAAAAAATCATCGTTAATTGGGGAATAGCTCCTTTAAAAAGTTGACTGTCAATTTTGGGAATTCTGATAAATTGCAATTCCTGTGTTCCATTGATTTTTAATTTTTTTTAATTTCTATCCATCTGTTATTGTTTTTAAGATAATAGGAGAAACGCAAAAAAAAAAATGGATAAAGTTCGTCATCAAAAGGCAATAACGTCTATAAAGAGTCAACAATTTCGGTCATGTAACATAGATCTGGTCCTGTTTATTATGTTTACTATTAAATGTTTCTCTTTATGTAATATAGTTTTAAGATAATAGGCTAGCAAGAAATAAATAGGAAAATTTGTCATTAAAGTGCAATAACTCTCATTGGAAGTCTGACAGTTTTAATGTTTTAAGAAAGACATCAGGTAGATCTCATTATTGTGAAAATTTCTGTCCATGTCAAATATTCTCTATCTATAGCGGTTTTCAAGATAACAGACAAAACTTGCATTTTACCCCTATTTTCTATATTTTAGTCATGTCGGCCATGTTGGTTGGCAGGCAGGATCAACGGACACAATTTTAAAATGAATACTCTAATGATGAGTGTGGCCAAGTTGGTTCCAATTGTGTTATGAGAAGAATATTTTTGTAAAAGTTAAAGAATGATCGACGAATGACGATGTCGACCGACGATTGACGACGAACGACGACGGACGACGGACACCAAGTAATGAGAATAGCTCGCTTGACCCTTCAGTTCAGATGAGCACAAAAGGAATTTAATAACCCCCTTTTAAAGCGTTTTATGAAAATAAAAAAGCATATTCATGTGCATGTTTTCGTGAAATAACAACTCGTCATTGGGTGTCTTAAGTAACATCTTAATGGTTTTTTGGTAACTTGATTATTTGGTGCTGATGGTAGATCTCTGACTGTTCCTGTAAAAAACCTTTATAGAATAGGTACGATGTAGATCCAAATGTATTTCTTATGCAATCTCAATGTTCTCTCTTAATCTCGCCAAGTGAAATACATTTATAGCTTGCTGTTCGGTGTGAGCCAAGGCTCCGTGTTGAAGGCCGTACTTTGACCTATAATGGTTTTCTTTTATAAATTGTGACTTGGATGGAGAGTTGTCTCATTGGAACTCATACCACATCTTATTTTATTTATCCACTACAAATGTAGCTACCAAAATGTATCTAAAAGGACATACATTAAACGATTATCATACAGTGTGTCTTTAGTCATTTTGTAAGTAGTTTTTTTTTAATTTAGTGACGATCTGATGAGCAATGTTCATTCCTACAGATTATGACAGTGTGTTTTATGTCGCTGTCATAGGTTAGTAGGAGGGTTTACAGCTCACCAACACTTTTTTGTCGCCTGACTTAAGTCAGAAGTATGTTATTTAGTGGTTGTCTTTGCGTGTGGTTGCTGTCAGTCATATTGGATTTTCCTTTATTCTTTTAGAATAGAGCATTAGTTAGTTTCTTCGTTTGACATTTTCACATTTTTTCATACTGGAGTCTTCTATAACCTACTATCGGTATTTAATTTGCTGAATATTGGAGATCTTTCTATCATTGAGTAAACCAAGTTTTAACACTTTGAAAACAGTGCATACATTGTCTTATTTGTCTTGTATTTGTTGTGACATATTTTTCTGTCTTCCAATAAAAGTTTTCACTCTACTGCGCCGTTTTTCCCATTGACATATATTGTCCGAAATCAGCCGAGTGACAACGAATTGCCGTGTAATAATGAAACGAAAAGACATGCGATTATAAGCGGAAGTGGAAATTTCATTAAGTAAGTTATTTGTTCAGATTTTTTCGTGTAGATTTACGATTTCATTTTATTGAACATTTCAATATCTGACGTTATGCAAACAAGAAGAAGTCTTATTTACGACTTAATGTTACGATTTCCTGTAGAAAGAGTGCAAATTTAATTCCCTACAAATATGTTACTATACCCTATTCCATTGCTTACATATAATGTTGATTGTAAAGCTTTTGTGTTTTCTCTGAATGGTAATTGTGTTATTTGTTTGTATTTTTCGTGATATACTTTGATGTCTCTCAATATAAGTCATCCTACTGTGCTGTTTGCTCTCATTGACATATATTTTCCAGAATCCACAGAGACACGACGAATTAACTTGCGATAATTTTACGAACAGACATGCGATTAGTGGCAGGAGTTGATATAAGCACCATTTCGAAAAATATTGAATATTCGTAAACCTAGTGCTTCTATTAAACTTTAAAAACATTTAAGATATTTACTCATGATAATGTTTATTTTTGTGTCGCTTGTTTGTTTTTGTCCCTGGGTGATAATGAAAAGGTTGACAAAACAATGTTAAAATGTATAATTTCGTATTTAAACGAATGTTTGCTCGCAGTCATTAAAATCAAGCTAAATGTACTTATCTAGCTGATAGAAAACCTGTCCATCCTCTCCTTTGATATCGGTTGTTATACCTCAGAGAACATTTCATTCAAATCCGCCATAAGAGAAGATGAAGATACTACCAACGTAGACGTTCGTAAAGTACTATATACTCAGACACATATAATTCATTTACATAAGATTAATAACACACCAGTCTGTTAATATATTTACAATAGCTAATAAAAAAACTCAGGGTTTATCTAACTAGCAATAATTTTGTTTTATACAAAAAGAATGATTTTAAGTGGTGGTAGATGCGAAACGTTTGTATAAGGAAGAGATTAATGTAACTCTTTAATACCGGTTATTACAAATAGAACGTATTCATTACTACCTTTGACACAGGTATCTGAATTCTAAATCTGAATCTTGAATGACCCGTTTGAAATTCAAGTTCAAATCCAATGACGGTTGTGCTTCATTTAAGATTGTTATTGTAATTGTACCGGTATTGTGACATTGATAATGAGACAGCACACCTTAGTAATGTAACAAAAAAAAATGAAATGATCGTCTTCCGCGAAATCTTTCAGTTCAATTAGTTTACTTCCTTGTAGATAACATTGACCTTTGTACCGTGAATAATTGGAACTTTTAAGTACAATATAGATAGGCCAAATATTTCAAGTCATAATAAAATGACGATAATTTAAATAATTATAAAAAACAATATCAATATACAAAATAAATACTAATTTTACATTGTAGGTAAGGATGCAAAAAGATTCGTGGAATAGACATTTTGGATGACTTTTGTACAATAAAGTGTTTGTACTGAATGAAATGTAGGGTTTCCCAGTCCAAAACATGGAATTTTCAAAGTCAAAGTACTATATTATTATGATACGGTGGGCGACGCACGTTTCCAATAGAAAACTCAAAAATTATTCACTAGGGTGTCTTAAAACAAATTCTACACTTGAAAGTATGCATTATAGTTATATAACAAATACATATCTAACTCTTTAAAGTGTTCATGCTGACATTGTAATCTTTGGACATCTATTGTACGATATCGGTGTTTAATCTTAGCAATAAAACCAAAATCCTTTTTAAAACACCCGATGGCATATCAAACATGTAAAAAAACAAGCATGGGGACAGGGTTTTTGTTATTCATAGTTTCATTTTCTATATCATTTTCTATCATATTGATGTTTCGAATAATTGGCTTCTTCACCTCAAATTGGGATATACAGTGTGTTAAAAATATTTTACTATTTAAAAAATAGAAATGATTTTATAAGGGACATTTTTATTGATGTAACTACAGCCGGAAGTTAATGTAGAGGAAAAAACAAGAAAGTCTAAATAAACAAACAAGTAATGTTCTTAAATATGGTTTAATCTGTACAGCAGGAAACTGTCGCATGTTGATTCAAATGAAAATTTAGTTTATTAACGATCTATATTGTTATTATGACAAAGGAAATGTTTCTTCGACTAGTGGTTTTGCTTTTGCATTAAAGTTTTGTGTTTACGGAAATAATAACATTTGTTACCGCTGGGTCGATTTCGCTGCTGGTAGACTTTAAGTCATTGAGGGAACAATCAGTCAAGTAATCGGTACTTAAGTACTGGCCTTGTTTAAATAATAATTTATGTTGATATTTCTGTTCATTATCTTATGTATTGTACTAGAATTAAGTTTATTATTCCCTCGGGGAAAGTTGACTTACTACAATTTGTTTAAACATTTACTAAACTCTTTCATAGTTAGGCGAACCTGTCGAAAACTACAAATTTTGGAATTTAGAATACATAGATGAATTGGATATATATCTAAAATTAAGAAAGCATATCATTTCGTCATCTATTTACATTTAAACATTTCACTTAATTACGTTTTTATTTCCGCAATAAAAGATGACATTCATTACAAATCAGATTCTTCCTTATCATCACATGTGTATACAATCTCAGTTATTGCAATAAATTTAAATGGCAAATCGGGTGTTAGGATTTTGTACAAAGTGTACTAGCGCGAATGACGAGGAGTGTTTCTTGGTGAAGCAGACAACCAACTTTCTGTTAAACATCCGTAGTCATAACGAAACAGTACAAAGACCAGCATGGGGACAGGGTTATTCATATTCACATTTTTATTTTCTGTCATATTTCTGTTGCAAATAGTTGGCTTCTTCATGTATACGAGGATTACGCAAAATCGATGAAGACAGGAGCAATGCTTATGTTTGCAACAACAGGTAAACTTATGTAGAAGCCACCGAATATCATATGGCTTTTTCAATATCACACATGTATCAACCCGAGATACCAATATAATCACAGTACCTCTGTTTGAGGGATTGTGTTGATTGAATGTTGATACGGTAGGTGATATTAAATAAGCCATATTATTTGAAACCTACTCACCTATTTTCGTCCAATGAAAAATCAGTATTTTCCCTGCTATATTTCATAGTACATGGCTCTCCATTCACTATGAAATACAATACATGAACTACTTTTCATTGTAAATTAATTATGAAAGTGAACTCTAAAAAACTGCACTAACCGAGTGTACAACTTTACCGTCCACGGCATTTTTCATAGGAAAAGAGCAAAACTAAAAAATCACGAATACTGTTGTTTTTCCAATTATTATAAATGAAAACAGAATAGAACTACAAAAACATTTTAAGTTGAGATTTGAATATTGTAAACGTTATATAATGGTATATATAAAAAAACAAACATATACAAAGTATAGAAAAGGGGACAAATGTGTAGATGAGGTAACCTTTATACGAGACCTTAAATCAAGAGATTTTTTTTAAGTTACAATAACTGTTGATATAAAAGAAAAAAAAATTATCAATTTAAGGAAGCATCTGATATTGAAAGTTGAAAGTAATTTTCTAATATTCCTTGATGAAGTTTTGTCATTTTTAAAAATGATACAATTTAAAAAAAAAGCTATTTATATCACATTGTGTGCTTTTAAAATAAAGGAATTTTAGATATATAAGTATTACATTTTACCTGATGCTGAAAAAAACTCAATTGTTTAATAATGTATCCTTTTTTGTTAACACAAAATTATCTCATTGCTATTTCACTCCATCTGTTGTAATGACCATTAAATATGATTGTCATCCGTTTTACTAACCATGTTAACACTTAAAGTGAACTCATATTAAGGTTTGATTATTACGATGGGAAAGGCTTATTTCTTAATTCACTCATAGGTGCGAATATGTTCTAAATTGGTCAGACAATACTTGGTCATGTTTTATAAACATTTTAAAACCTCGGCTACGCCTCGAGCTTTTAATATTTATAAAGCATGACCAAGTATTATTTAACCGATACATAAACTAACTATATTATAACGTAATACATAATAAGGTTTTGATAAAGCCTTTTCAACCGTGACTTAAATCAATATCATCACGGACAATTGATACAGAATGATTGTCATTGATTTTGCTACACATACAATTTACTTGTATTTACTGCTAAGTATATAAGACATTTTCTTAATGTTCTGTAAACAGCGGTTAACAAATTTAAAAGTCATGTTTAGAGGACATATAAGAAAAGATATTATGGAAATTTGTTAAATGTAGATAAAAGATGTACATGTATATGATACAGTAACAAAAATGAATTAAAAACTTTAGAAAATGTGTATGATACAGTGTACAACATTAAAGAGTGTGCTTAAAGTGACCATATTAATGAGAAGAATACAAGGGATTAAATATAGATAGTTGTGTTTTTGTAATTTCGGCTTTACATACTTTTAGCTTCATTAACGTCTCCGTCAGAATCCTTACATTTCTTCAAACATAGTTCAAATATATTCGTTTAATCATGTAAATATTTTCCTGAAGAACTGTTTTTAAAAGAAAAACTTTCATTAGATAATATAATCGTTTTTTTTTTTATATGATCAATTATGAGAGTGAATATGCAACGCAGTGCGTTTTTTATTTTGTGAAATATAAAGGAAAAGTTCCCTTAAAGGTTCCTAAAGGCGCATATTATAATTTTACTATGTAATAACAGTATGGTATACCTTTCATACAACCACATAAATATTTATGTATTACAGACATACGTATCTAGACATCGTGATCCTTTTATTTAACATTTATATTTTATCATTGTAGAGATGATGAATATTGAGATTAACAAACACTATTGGTTGGAGTTGCTTGGTGTTTTCCTGGTCCGCTGCAATTCTTATAAGCATCATTGTAATTACATATTGTTGTTGCTTTATGTCAATCTTCGGAGAAGAGAGAAGTAGCCGCAATCGGTATTTCGTTTACTATTCTGTTGTAGATTGAGATTGAATCATGCATCGTGAATAAAATGAATACTTAATTAATCTCTTTATTTATTTATCTAAACGATGCGAAACCTTGATGGAATTTTAGAGGTAGGTACGTTAAGAGTCATTATTTTTGGCATTTGTATTTGCAAAAGATATTAAATTACTCAAGCTTTCCAAAATTATGTACATTTGTTTGATAAATGGTCAGTTCCTAAACTCTGTACACTTTAGTGTAACATCATTACTTGTGATATCACTTTGCTTTACAGAAACATGTTGATATTGACACATTTGACATACATTGGAAATTTTACTCATAGAGTTCAGTTAAAATAACAAAGTATGTTTAAGTCAAGGCTTTACACAAACATATGTTTTACCCAAACCAACACCAGTCCTTTCCTGCTGCAAAATACTTTTTGGGGTAAAACATAATTCAGCTCACATGTAAATATCAATTACAAGATCTCAAAACTAGGTGATTAATTTGGCAATATTTACAGTTTTGCACATAATGCAAATATGTAAGACAAAATCAAAAATTACTTTTTCTTTAATCTAAGTATATAAGGGTCAACAAACTGACCTTGTCATACACTCTCCTTAGTTATATATACGCATCTCAATCGCTTTTAGGATTCACAATAAAAATACTGCAGTGTTGATTAATGAAGTTCACATAAACTTCTTAAAAGATAAGATAAAAAAACATATATAAAAAGTCGACACGGAAGAAACAAACAAAAACCCAACATGTAACTCCTTCACTCCTTCAGAAGAAAAACTTAATATCGTGTTCAGTATCAATTTCTAATTTATGTTGTTATCCCACTTTGGCTGTCTACACCAGTCGGCTCTGAGCGAAGGTTTATCATATAATGAGCAAGCATCGAATACATACAATATGCATATTACTTTTTTCCCTTCAACTCCCAATTCCTTTGCTCATTAATATCTAAATCTACAAGCACACAATGGATATCTTTTAAAGACTGAATCATTCGTGATTTAAAATCAATACCATATGACAGTTACATTGTAAATGTCGATGAAAACGAAATGTATTTTTATAACAAATATCTCTGAATTAAAAACTATTCATTTTTTGGCTTTGAAACTCCCAAACAAATTTAGTGGCTGATGATGACACAAACTAATAGCAAGCAAAAATGTGGGGTAAAATCATGAACACAAGTCTAAGACTCTTTCAAAAATTAGGCATTCAATTGAAATAGCTCGTAAAAAGTTATCACAAGTGTTCAACAGCATGGGTATTCTAAAACATTCAAGCATTTAACAAGATACAACTCGAAAAAATACTTATGTAAAGTGAATCAAGAATGTGCTTTCAATGATATATCAGTGAAGAGAAATGGGAAACGGGTTGTGGTAATCTGGGACACAAATTTCTTTACGGTCAACCGAGACATTGGGAAACATCGTTTTTGATTATCACATCGGTTCATGGCCAACTTCTGAACAAAATTTAAGTCAAGGTATGAATCCGACCTAAACGTATCAAACAATTAACAGGTTAGATGGATCACCATAGTCAGCAAACGTAGAATTACTTTACAACAGAAATATATTCCGTATAGAATATAGTCTAGTTTAGTATGGTGCCTGCATTAAACACTAGTACATTCCGATTCTGACAACCATTGAAGAAAGTAAAATATCTTCAAAGCAATCATGACAAAACAGCTGACATTACAGGGTGAAAGTTTTTGTTTTATGTCAGGTTTTTCTCTCCTGTTTTATTCAAAAGTCGTCTATTTAACTGATAAGTTATTGACATACAGGGACATATTTGAAAGACATATAGAATCGTTGCGTGACTGAAAGCTGATCGGATAAATACTAAGGTCACAAGGTGAAAAGTGTATCGCAATATTACAAATGATCGAACTTTCTAGTAAAAATGTGTGTATGTACATACAATGTTATTTTAATACAACCATCAATATTTACAAATTTAGGATTTTAAAATATATATAAATTTTAGGTAAATATATGTAAAGTTAGGAAGGCCATATCATTACGTGATTTATTTACATCCAAACTATAAGTTCAACTCTACAAACATTTCAATAAATTGCGTTTTAATTTCTGCAACAAAAGATGAAATAATTAACAAACAAACTCTTCCGTAATATAATATTGTTTACATGTCACAGTGTTTATAACATGTTTTAATAACGAATCATATATGAGGAGTGTGTACAGAGTGTACTAAAGCGAATGTCAAGGAGTGTTGCTTGGTGAAGCAGAAAACCAACTTTCTGTTTAAACTATTCGAAGTTATACCAAGCAACTACAAAGGCCAACATGGGGACAGGGTTTTTAATATTCATAATTCTCTTTTCAATTATATTTTTGTTGCAAATAGTTGGCTTCTTCTCTCCATATTGGGATATACAGTGTGTGAAAAATTATGATCCGAACATTACTAATTCAAACAACGAGACATGTTTTAACCAGGGATTGTTTTTTGGATGTGACGACAGTGGAAAATGTAGACTAACAAACAGTAAGCTGAAATAACAAGCAACTTGCATAAATATCTTTTAATCTCTAAAATCTGTAATTTCCTTCATCATTACATTATGTATTGTTCTATAACTAAGTTTATTATTCCAATGGGTAAAGTTGATTTATCACAATTTACTTAAAACCTTTACTAAATTCTTTTATTGATTCAAAAATTTGGTTTGGAAATTTTGGGTGTATCTGTAGAAAAGCTTATCACAAACGGGATATCACATTTTAATTGTCATGATGATGTTGTTTTACATAGTCTGTAAATTTAGAAACGATCCATGTTATTTTATTTATTCTATGAACTATGAATACATAATTTCGAAAAGATTATCAATATTTAACATTGTATTAAGGTATTTGAATATTGTTACTATCGGTACAAAAATCGATTCTATTATCAAAAATTCAAACATAACTGAGTATGTTTGGATATACAGATATGGACAGTTACGGTCCTACATCCTGTTAATACGTAAATTTTTGCATTGTAAAAGGCATGTTTTTCTCAGACTGTTTATGCCTTCTTTACATATCTGTATAGGTCTGCTGCATATCTTCATCTTTCCTTCGATATTTACGCGGACGGCCGACCTCAAACTAAAATCTATGACAAACGTGATGATTCCAACTTTCCAATTGTCAATTTCCCAATACTTACCCTCTGCTCCGTCGCGTGGCGTTTTACATATCTCAGTTAATCCTTACACAAAAACTGCTCCCACAGATCTGGAGTTATAAGGATGAACGACTGAAATTGACACTACATAAGTTTAACGGTCACCATCACAAATTGGTTGACTGATAGGTTGTGTCGGTGTCTCAACTCACTTGCGACATGTTTTCGCGGTCTTAGATCTTTAGATGCCAGTATAGTCGTATGAACTGTCATTTTACCGATTGTGCCTATTCTCGATTGAGACATTTTGACTGAATGTGAATTCATATAGCGCGTGATGCATGCATAGCACGTGATCCTTACCTTATCGTCGCACTGGTCTCGCTCCTTTTGGAGTTCAAGAGACAGTTTTTGTCTGTTACTTCAATTTGTCTCTTCTTAATCAATTTACGGGATTTGAACATCGTTAAAAGACTGTCCACTTAAATGACACGAATTCATTGGATGTATACTGATTGATATTTTATTCTGGGAACCATTGTAATCGGCTTTTAACTAGTTTCAGTAACTTAGAGTTCTGTTAGATTGGTCATTTGTGTCTTGAGTCTTTTTGTTAGTTTTTTTTGGGCTTTGTATCGATCTTATAAGTCAAGCTCTTTAAACGGATTTAAGAGTTTGTTCTTATTTTGTGCTGTTAGTCAATTGTTTAATGTTAGGGGAGGGTTAAGCGCTCGCAAACGTTTTAAATGCTCCACAGTCTGTATGTGGCTGACCCAAGTTAGTGGTTGTCTTTGGTTGCCTTCCATCATATTTGTTTCGTTTCTTGTTTTGTACACAGATTAGAGCGTTTGTGTTCTCGTTTGAATTATTTATGGCCTTCTTTAGTTTACTATGCGGTTTGGGTTTTCGGGTAATTGTTGATGTACGGTGACTGTACCGTGATCACTACTTGGCTACATCTACTTCTTTTGGTCTTTGATGGATGGTCTTCTCATTGGCAATTATACCGCATCTTCTTGTTGTTATATCAAATCGAATTTGGCTGTTCTGTTTAGGTCTTTTTGTGATAATCTTCTTAAACTTTAACACATCTATGACAGAAACCCTGTACCAACTTTTGTCTCGAGATAACATAATCTATCGATATGAGATGGAATTAAGTTTATTAGCAACATGTTTTATGAATAACAATATACCAAGGAAAAGAGGACCTTTATCAAAAGTCCCTACTCCGAAAAAGACAGTTCCTATGAGGTCCATTTTCAAAAACAAATCAACACTGAAAATGGTAAGGTCATTACACTACAAGATGTTTTTTTCAGAATAAAATCTTGTGCTCATACTCCTGATTAAATGATACAGGATTTGAATTATTTTTAATTGAAAGCTTAATCATTTAGATTTGAAAATTCCAAACGATGAAATTGAAACTTAATAAGGCGAAGAAAGTATAGTCAATGTATGTGCTAAGGAGCCATTAAAAATTTTCAATTTCCATTAAGTACTAACGTTATATATATTATTCAACTGTATGACCATATACTTTTTTTGAGGAGGGAACTGTAATACAACGCTGACATTTCTAGTAACAGGAGGAACTGCTACCCATTATTTTTGGCACCATGTCAAACAAAAGGGTGTCTATTCGTGTAATCAAATAGCAAAAGAGAATTAAAAAAAATGTGGTTGATATATATAACTTAGCAAATAGGAAACCATATGTCAAAGAAAAACTTGAAAAATCAAAGTAAATGAAAAACTACGAACAGTCCACAACTCGCTACTCAATAAAATAAATATTAGATAACACGAACCCTTATAAAAAAATGCTTTAAACTCTGGTGCTCCGGAAGGGTCAACTGTTCCTGCTAACCCGTCTTGTACAAAAATATCTCTGATCTGTTATTAATTTTGTTTGGTATTTGGTACAGTACATTTATCGAAAACGCACGAAAAATTTAAATTTGGACTACCCGACTCAACATTGGTAAAACTGGTTTAACCCCAACATATTTAGTGACTGTATTAAGTCAATCTATCTATACCATGTGTTGTTTGTTGTTGTTTTTTTTTTTGGTTTGTATGTCCGTTTTTTCAAAAGAGTTGTGTGTTGGTGGTTAATGTGACCCAAATTGACGATAATTATGAATTTTATTTATGATGCAGCGATTTAGCTGAAAATGTACAATAGGTTTGTAATTCCATATTCAGTGACTGTGGCCTGATGAAAATATATATTTTCCAGTTATAGACAGTAGAATTTTTGGATTAGCAGTAGCCATAATTTTTGGGAACATTGTTGTATTGGTTCTTTTGATACTTGTCCTGGCTCATGTATGCGATGATAACAAAAAATTAATGAAGACAGGAGCAATGTTATTGTTTGCAGTTACAGGTAAACTATTGAAGAAGCACCATATAAATTTTATAATATTATGGAAATTTGTTAACTGTAGGTAAACTATGTACATGAATATAAAGCAATAAAAACATGACTAAAAAACTTCAGAACATGTACATAAAATAGTCTCCAACAATGAATCGTGTCCTTAAAGTAAATATAATGCCATTTGTGAGAAAAATAAAAGAGAACAAATATATGAATATACAATGTACTTTGCTTTTCTATTACATATATATATATAAATATATAAATGAAGTTGTTTGTAATTTCTGGTTTACATACCATCTCCTTCGGAATACTCAAATGTCTTCAAATATAAATCAAATATATTCATTTAATGATGCAAATATATTTCTTGAAGGGATTTGTTACGGTCATTTAGAAAAAACAACTTTGACCTGAATGATAGAAATTAATATCATTTTTCTCGATACGATCAATTATGAGATTCAATATGCAATGTAGTGCGTTGTACATGTTATGAAATATAAAGAAACAGCGAGCTTCCAATGTACAGGTTCTTAAAGACGAATATGATAATTTTAATAACATTATATTAATATACTTTTTACACAAAATTAATAAATTACAGACACATATATCCAGATTTCACCTCATATATGTTGTTTCTTTTATTTTACACCTCCAATTTTATCATTGTAGAGATATTGAATATTGCTTCGACAATAATTGTTTGGCTGGACAGTTACACTATTGGTTGGAGTTGGTGGGTGTCTGCCTGGTCTGCAGTCATTCTTATAGCCATCATTGCATTAACATGCCTGTGTGCTATCATGTCATCCGATGAAAAGGAGGGAAACAGCAATAGCCACAAACGTTATTTTATTTACTACTATGTTGTAGAAGTTGATTGAATAATTCATCGTGAATAAAAAATTACCCCTTAATTTATTTATATAATTATTCATCTAAAACATCTGCCATTTTTAAAGGAAGAGGTACGTTAAGAGCCATTATTTGACTTCGGAAACTGCAAAAATAATTTATTAAGTTATTCGAGCGTTCCAAAATTATGTACATTTGCCTTATAAATAAAAAGTTTATAAAAGCTGGGCACTTTGGTGCATAATATTTTCTTGTGGTGTCTTTTTGATGACAGAAACATGTTGATATTAACATATTTGACATACATTGTCCATTTTACTCAAAGATTTTAAAGTTAAAACACAAAATAAAAGTAAGGAGATGTGGTATAATTGCCATTGAGACAAATATCCCCCAAAGTTCAAATGAAGTGAATGTAAGCAATTATAGTCAACCGTACGGCCTTCAACAATGAAAAAACCCCATACCGTATGGTCGGCTATAAAAGGTCTCGACATGAAAAATATGAAACAATTCAATTGAGAAAACTAACGGTCTAATTTATAACAAAACAATTTACGAAAAACAAACATTCTCCTTAGTTATATGTACGCATCTCGATCGCTTTTAGGATTCACAATAAAAATACTGCAGTGTTGATTAATGAAGTTCACATAAACTTCTTAAAAGATAAGATAAAAAAATATATAAAAAGCCGACACGGAAGAAACAAACAAAAACCCAACATGTAACTCCTTCACTCCTTCAGAAAAAAAACCCTTTATATCGTGTTCAGTATCAATTTCTAATGTATGTTGTTATCCCACTTTGGCTGTCTACACCAGTCGGCTCTGAGCGATGGTTTATTATATAATGAGCAAGCATCGAATACATACAATATGCATATTACTTTTTCAACTCCTAATCCCATCGCTCATTAATATCTAAATCTACAAGCACACAATGGATATTTTTAAAAACTGAATCATTCATGATTTAAAATCAATACCATATGACAGTTACATTGTAATGTCGATGAAAACGAAATGTATTTTGATAACAAATATCTCTGCATTGAAAACTATTAATTGTTTTGCTTTGAAAACCCCAAACAAAATTGAGTGGCTGATGATGACAAAAAACTAATTGCAAGCAAAAAGTGGGGTAAAATCATGAACACAAGTCTAAGACTCTTTGAAAATTAGGCATTCAATTGAAATAGCTCGTAAAAAGTTATCACAAGTGTTCAACAGCATGGATGGAACACAGGTATTCTAAAACATTTAAGCATTTAACAAGATACAACTCGAAAAATAATTATGTAAAGTAAAACAAGAATGTGCTTTCAATGATATATCAGAGAAGAGGAATGGGAAACGGGTTGTGGTTATCTGGGACACAAGTGTCTTTACGGTCAACCGAGACATTGGGAAACATCATTTTTGATTATCACATCAGTTCATTGCCATCTTCTGAACACAATTTAAGTCAAGGTATGAATCCGACCTAAACGTACCAAACAATTAACAGGCTAGATGGATCACCATAGTCAACAAACGTAGAATTACTTTACAACAGAAATATATTCCCTATAGAGTATGGTCTAGTTTAGTATGGTGCCTGCATTAAACACTAGAACATTTCGATTCTGACAACCATTGAAGAAAGTAAAATATCTTCAAAGCAATCATGACAAAACAGCTGACATTACAGGGTGAAAGTTGTTGTTTTATGTCAGGTTTATCTCTCTTGTTTTATTCAAAAGTCGTCTATTTAACTGATAAGTTATTGACATACAGGGACATATTTGAAAGACATATAGAATCGTTGCGTGACTGAAAGCTGATCGGATAAATACTAAGGTCACAAGATGAAAAGTGTATCGCAATATTACAAACGATCGAACTTTCTAGTAAAAATGTGTGTATGTACATACAATGTAACTTTAATACAACCATCAATACTTACAAATTTGGGATTTTAAAATATATATACATTTTAGGTAAAAATATGTAAAGTTAGGAAGGCCATATCATTACGTGATTTATTTACATCCAAACTATAAGTTCAACTCTACAAACATTTCAATGAATTGCGTTTTAATTTCTGCAACAAAAGATGAAATAATTTACAAACAAACTCTTCCGTAATATAATATTGTCTACATGTCACAGTGTTTATAACATGTTTTAATAACGAGTGTGTACAGAGTGTACTAAAGCGAATGTCAAGGAGTGTTGCTTGGTGAAGTAGAAAACCAACGTTCTGTTTAAAATATTCGAAGTTATACCAAGCAACTACAAAGGCCAACATGGGGACAGGGTTTTTAATATTCATAATTCTCTTTTCAATTATATTTTTGTTGCAAATAGTTGGCTTCTTCTCTCCATATTGGGATATACAGTGTGTGAAAAATTATGATCCGAACATTACTAATTCAAACAACGAGACATGTTTTAACCAGGGATTGTTTTTTGGATGTGACGACAGTGGAAAATGTAGACTAACAAACAGTAAGCTGAAATAACAAGCAACTTGCATAAATATCTTTTAATCTCTAAAATCTGTAATTTCCTTCATCATTACATTATGTATTGTTCTATAACTAAGTTTATTATTCCAATGGGTAAAGTTTATCACAATTTACTTAAAACCTTTACTAAATTCTTTTATTGATCAAAAAATTTGGTTTGGAAATTTTGGGTGTATCTGTAGAAAAGCTTATCACAAACAAGATATCACATTTTAATTGTCATGATGATGTTGTTTTACATAGTCTTTTAATTTAGAAACGATCCATGTTATTTTATTTATTCTATGAACTATGAATAAATAATTTCGAAAAAATTATCAATATTTAACATTGTATTAAGGTCTTTGAATATTGTTACTATCGGTACAAAAATCGATTCTATTATCAAAAATTCAAACATAACTGAGTATGTTTGGATATACAGATATGGACAGTTACGGTCCTACATCCTGTTAATACGTAAATTTTTGCATTGTAAAAGGCATGTTTTTCTCAGACTGTTTATGCCTTCTTTACATATCTGTATAGGTCTGCTGCATATCTTCATCTTTCCTTCGATATTTACGCGGACGGCCGACCTCAAACTAAAATCTATGACAAACGTGATGATTCCAACTTTCCAATTGTCAATTCCCCAATACTTACCCTCTGCTCCGTCGCGTGGCGTTTTACATATCTCAGTTAATCCTTACACAAAAACTGCTCCCACAGATCTGGAGTTATAAGGATGAACGACTGAAATTGACACTACATAAGTTTAACGGTCACCATCACAAATTGGTTGACTGATAGGTTGTGTCGGTGTCTCAACTCACTTGCGACATGTTTTCGCGGTCTTAGATCTTTAGATGCCAGTATAGTCGTATGAACTGTCATTTTACCGATTGTGCCTATTCTCGATTGAGACATTTTGACTGAATGTGAATTCATATAGCGCGTGATGCATGCATAGCACGTGATCCTTACCTTATCGTCGCACTGGTCTCGCTCCTTTTGGAGTTCAAGAGACAGTTTTTGTCTGTTACTTTAATTTGTCTCTTCTTAATCAATTTACGGGATTTGAACATCGTTAAAAGACTGTCCACTTAAATGACACGAATTCATTGGATGTATACTGATTGATATTTTATTTTGGGAACCATTGTAATCGGCTTTTAACTAGTTGCAGTAACTTAGAGTACTGTTAGATTGGTCATTTGTGTCTTGAGTCTTTTTGTTAGTTTTTTTGTGCTTTGTATCGATGTTATAAGTCAAGCTCTTTTAACTGATTTAAGAGTTTGCTCATATTTTGTGCTGTTAGTCAATTGTTTAATGTTAGGGGAGGGTTAAGCGCTCGCAAACGTTTTAAATGCTCCACAGTCTGTATGTGGCTGACCCAAGTTAGTGGTTGTCTTTGGTTGCCTTCCATCATATTTGTTTCGTTTCTTGTTTTGTACACAGATTAGAGCGTTTGTGTTCTCGTTTGAATTATTTATGGCCTTCTTTAGTTTACTATGCGGTTTGGGTTTTCGGGTAATTGTTGATGTACGGTGACCGTACCGTGATCACTACTTGGCTACATCTACTTCTTTTGGTCTTTGATGGATGGTCTACTCATTGGCAATTATACCGCATCTTCTTGTTGCTATATCAAATCGAATTTGGCTGTTCTGTTTAGGTCTTTTTGTGATAATCTTCTTAAACTTTAACACATCTATGACAGAAACCCTGTACCAACTTTTGTCTCGAGATAACATAATCTATCGATATGAGATGGAATTAAGTTTATTAGCAACATGTTTTATGAATAACAATATACCAAGGAAAAGAGGACCTTTATCAAAAGTCCCTACTCCGAAAAAGACAGTTCCTATGAGGTCCATTTTCAAAAACAAATCAACACTGAAAATGGTAAGGTCATTACACCACAAGATGTTTTTTCAGAATAAAATCTTGTGCTCATACTCCTGATTAAATGATACAGGATTTGAATTATTTTAATTGAAAGCTTATTCATTTAGATTTGAAAATTCCAAACGATGAAATTGATACTTAATAAGGCGAAGAAAGTATAGTCAATGCATGTGCTAAGGAGCCATTAAAAATTTTCAATTTCCATTAAGTACTAACGTTATATATATTATTCAACTGTATGACCATATACTTTTTTTGAGGAGGGAACTGTAATACAACGCTGACATTTCTAGTAACCATAATTTTTGGGAACATTGTTGTATTGGTTCTTTTGATACTTGTCCTGGCTCATGTATGCGATGATAACAAAACATTAATGAAGACAGGAGCAATGTTATTGTTTGCAGTTACAGGTAAACTATTGAAGAAGCACCATATAAATTTTATAATATTATGGAAATTTGTTAACTGTAGGTAAACTATGTACATGAATATAAAGCAATAAAAACATGACTAAAAAACTTCAGAACATGTACATAAAATAGTCTCCAACAATGAATCGTGTCCTTAAAGTAAATATAATGCAATTTGTGAGAAAAATAAAACAGAACAAATATATGAATATACAATGTACTTTGCTTTTCTATTACATATACATATATATATATATAAATGAAGTTGTTTGTAATTTCTGGTTTACATACCATCTCCTTCGGAATACTCAAATGTCTTCAAATATAAATCAAATATATTCATTTAATGATGCAAATATATTTCTTGAAGGGACTTGTAACGGTCATTTAGAAAAAACAACTTTGACCTGAATGATAAAAATTAATATCATTTTTCTCGATACGATCAATTATGAGATTCAATATGCAATGTAGTGCATTGTACATTTTATGAAATATAAAGAAACAGCGAGCTTCCAATGTTCAGGTTCTTAAAGACGAATATGATAATTTTAATAACATTATATTAATATACTTTTTACACAAAATTAATACATTACAGACACATATATCCAGATTTCACCTCATATATGTTGTTTCTTTTATTTTACACCTCCAATTTTATCATTGTAGAGATATTGAATATTGCTTCGACAATAATTGTTTGGCTGGACAGTTACACTATTGGTTGGAGTTGGTGGGTGTCTGCCTGGTCTGCAGTCATTCTTGTAGCCATCGTTGCATTAACATGCCTGTGTGCTATCATGTCATCCGATGAAAAGGAGGGAAACAGCAATAGCCACAAACGTTATTTTATTTACTATTATGTTGTAGAAGTAGATTGAATAATTCATGGTGAATAAAAAATTACCCCTTAATTTATTTATATAATTATTCACCTAAAACATCTGCCATTTTTAAAGGAAGAGGTACGTTAAGAGCCATTATTTGACTTCTGAAACTGCAAAAATGATTTATTAAGTTATTCGAGCGTTCCAAAATTATGTACATTTGCCTTATAAATAAAAAGTTTATAAAAGCATGGCACTTTGGTGCATAATATTTTCTTGTGGTGTCTTTTTGATGACAGAAACATGTTGATATTAACATATTTGACATACATTGTCCACTTACTCAAAGATTTTAAAGTTAAAACACAAAATAAAAGTAAGGAGATGTGGTATAATTGCCATTGAGACAAATATCTCCCAAAGTTCATATGAAGTGAATGTTAGCAATTATAGGCAACCGTACGGCCTTCAACAATGAAAAAAAACCCATACCGTATGGTCGGCTATAAAAGGTCTCGACATGAAAAATATATAACAATTCAATTGAGAAAACTAACGGTCTAATTTATAACAAAACAATTTACGAAAAACAAATATGACAGACATGAACCAACGACAACCACTGAACTACAGGCTCCTGACTTGGGACAGGCACATAAAGAATGTGGCGGGGTTAAACATGTTTGTAAGCGCTCAACCCTCCCCTATTCTGGGACAATGGTGTAAAAGTACAACATAAGAACAAATCATACAAATCAGTTGAAAAAGGCTTCACTCATCAGATGGATACAAATAGAAATACATCTAACAAAAACACAGAGCGGATGTGGACGGGTACGTATACATCCCCACAACAAAAAGACACTAAGCACAGATCTGAGAGTACTCGCAGTTACTGACAGCTAGTTCAAAGCCAATAACAACTAATAAAATAAATGATGTATCTAAGACTTAAATATCAATCAGTACACATCAAATATCCAACGGATTTAGTGTAAAGACGTCATTAACAGTCAGAGAAAAACATGACCTTGTGCAATGTCAAACTGTAGGTTTAAGTAATTTGTGGTAACGAAATTCCTGACTTAATATTTTACTAGTAATACATAGATTACGCTCATTGAAATCCAGAACGTCACTACAGACACGGGCATAGCGAATGAGTTGGGATATATAAACACCGTAAGACGGTGCCAAAGGAACATCTCTTTTGTCGTAAATTTTTGTTTAGAGTTTCTGGTGTAATACTGAAATATCTAAATCTTAGAAAGGACAGCTATTGCTGTTAATATTTGATTTTCTTAAAGTCAGTTCCTTTGGGTAAGTTTCAGCAGTATATTTAGAGAATTCTTGATTATTTAACGAAAAATAACATTACGATAACGGTAAATGTTGTTGAATGTTACAATTAAATGGAATTTAGAAGGTTCTTTACTGAGTATGTATGTTTAGTCTCAGATGCGTGATTTTTTAAAGTTGTTATTGGCGTTGAACTAGCTGTTAGTAACTGTACTTGGTGTCTTTTTTGTTGTTGTGGGGATGTATAAATACCCTGCCACGTCCGATTGTGTTTTTGTTACTTGTTTTTCTGCTTTGTATCGATTGGATAATATAAGCCCTTTTCAACTGATTCTAATAGTTTGTTCATATGTTCTGCTGTTACACCACTGTCCAAGGTTAGAGAGAGGGTTAGGCGCTGGCAACCATGTTTAACCTCGCCACAGTCGGTATGTGCCTGTCCCAAGTCAGGAGCCTGTAATTCAGTGATTGTCGTTTGTTGCTGTATATGATATTTGTTTTTCGTTCATTGTTTTTCTACATAAATCAGGATATTTGTTTTCTCGTTTACATTTTTTAAATTTGTCATTTCGACACCTTGCACAGCTGACTATGCGGTATGGGTTTTGCTCATTGTTGAAGGCCGTACATTCACCTACATACAGTTGTAACTTCTATGTCATTTGGTCTCTGGTGGAAAGTTGTCTCGTTTGCAATCATTATTTTTATAATTAAGCCAATGCAGTATTCAAAAAGATATTTTACACAAATTTATCTTTGTAAACTGCTTCTTGCAACTAAATATCTTTTTGTTCGAAGCATAATTTGGCCCATATCTTAAAACTAATGACAGGATCTGAGTTTTGCATTTAAAAAAAAAATTGAAGCCTTCTTGTAAATATATAAGACACCATTCTCATATTGTCAATGAAGAAGAAATAAAATATAACAAGTTGAAGGATGATAGACAATACATTGACAAAGAAGACAAAATGAAATACACTTTTAAAAATAAATTGAAAACGAATCCACCAAAATAAATGGATAGAACACAAGTATTCTTAAAGGGTAAGCATTTAACACAATACAACTCGAAAAACACTAATATAAAGAAAATAGGAATGTGCACACGATGATAAATGAGAGAAGAAAAATGGAGACGGGTTGAGGTAATCTGTGACGAAATGTTTTTTTCTGTCAACCAGGACATTAGGAAATATACTTTTTTAATTATCATATCAGCTCATTGCAAAGCAAGGTTTAAGTCAAGGTATGAAGCCGACATAAACACATCTAACAATTGATAGGCTCAAAACTGATAGGTTAGATGGGATCAACATAGTCCACAAACTAAGAATTACTCAACAAAAGAAACATAATCTATATAGCCAGTGGTCTAGTTTAGTATAGTGTTTGTATTAATCACATATAAATTCCGAATTTGTTCACCATTGAAGAAAAGAAAGCATATGTAAAGTATAGTAAGGCTCATGACAAAACAGCTGGCATTACAGGACAAAAGTAAATGTTTTGTATCAGGTGTATCCCCCTTATCTTAATATAATATTTTAAAAATCACCTGATTGACTGCCACTTTATTAACATGATGGAAAACATATCGTTACTGCTAGAAAGTCGATCGGAAACTATTTTTCGATCACTTGGTGAAAATAATATATAATAATGCAAAAGATCAAACTGTCTAGTCAAAATGTCTGTTTATGAACATACTATGTTACTTTTGATACAATCATAAATACTTACACATTTAGAACCTTTAATAGATAGTATTGCAAGAAAAAGGTACAAATATCCAAAATTAGAAATAAGTCATATAATTACGACAAATATTTCCATTTAAACTTTTGGTTCAACCTCACATCTCAATGAATTACCTTTTAATGTTTGCAACAATAGATGACATACTTAAAAATTCTTCCGTATAAACTACAGGTATAAATTTAAATGGCGAATCATGTATTAGGAATTTGTACAGAGTGTACTAAAGCAAATGGCGAGGAGTTTTGCTTAGAATGTGAAGTTATTTTATGTTCGAAATGTAAATTGTCTCATCTCAAACGGAAATCAAATAGGAAGCACCATGTCGATAAATCATATTCGAAGATTTTAGATAAGAGGCCATCATGTTTAATTCACTCGAAAGAAGTTGTGTTTTATTGCAGCTCATGTTGTTTACTTATCTGTCCTAGCTGCATGCTCGAGAAACACAAACAACATGACGTGGATGAAATTGAAAATGCTGTGTCCAAAAAGAAGGAAGGTATATCAAGTGAAAAAGTGGATCTGGAATCTAGATCAGAAAATGTCAAACAAATCGTTGATGATCTGAATGTGTTTGAGGAAGCTTACAAGATTGATAATGCTACCTTGAAAAAGGTGATCAAGGTAAGAGGTGATACATTAAAGGCTCTTATTGATAAACACACAGAAACTTTGGTAGAACGCGTAACTCTAGAAGAAAGTTCTCAAATGACCCGGAAGTCGGAAGAGGTTTATAAACTTGAGGATACAAAACTGCTATGTGATCTCCAAATCGAACGTCTAAAAGGTTCTCTAGAGAACACAAAAGATATTGATATACTTTTGTCTTATGGAGAATGGGAGGAAGATGTCCAGCACTTAAAAACTAGAGAAATAATTGAATTTAAACCTATTCCACCTATTAGATTTTCAGAACCAGGCAAAGATGAAGACACCATTAAAGAATTATTCGGAGCGGTAGAAATCGGATTTTTGTAAGTAATTTCACTACACTACACATTATCATCTTATGCAGACTTAGATCAAAGAGACCTTTTTCATAGAAGACGTTTCAATTTGTAAGAAGGACTGCTTGATAATGAAAATATCACATACAGTGTGATTTATACATTATTTTAAAATAAATCCCCACCGGAATAAGCCTTTTTATACGTTTTACTTTTGCAATCGGTCATTAGAAAGTAAATAACAAAATACCGAACTCCAAGGAAAATTCATATCGGAAAGTCCCTTATGAAATGGAAGAATCGAAGGCTCAAACACATTAAATGGAAGACAAATGTCATATTCCTAACATGGTACAGGCATTTCCTTATGTAGAAAATGGTGTTTAATAGCTAGCTAAACCTCTCACGTGTATGCCAGTAATACAGCTATTTTTTTACCTATACAAAATACAGTACTTTCTAAATTGGAAATGAAGCTGTTTTCTAAGACTACAAGTATGCATGGCACGTAAGTAAACACTGAATATTATTGCAATTATCATGCAGATTTCACCAATTTTCCCAGCGAATTTAATTCTAATTGAAACTAGTTAATTAAAAACAGAAGAAAAAGCTGCATGTTTATGTATATGGTCTTAAACAATATTTTTTGATATAATATTGAAAAAATAAAAATAAAAAAACTTGTTACCTGTTTCATCCATGTATCTGTTACAGTAAGGTGAGATACAAGTGTTTTATCAAATTATACCAAATAAGGATATAGAATTAAGGAAGGAGTTCATATTGTGTCATGAAGAACGTATCTAAAATATATATTATCATATACTTGCAGTAAACTACAAGAAGGAGATCACGTCAGGATCAAGTTATCAGTAACCGAACCAATCAATGGCTGGGGAGATGTCACACACGACAGTATCGGCATTGTCAGAGGTATTGATATTTTTATAACAACTGTTTTGAGGTCGTCAAGGGTCAAATGACAACGCTATTGAATAAAGCTTAAAATTGCATTCAGATATCTAGTCATTGTAGCTCAGATGGAAGATAGTGCTATATGAGCATCTTATTACTTGCATTTCGTCGTCATTTGCCGTCCGTAAATTTAACAAAAGTCTTATTATAGAAGTTATTGCTATAAGATGTTGAAAACATGAACAGCAAAATAAAAGATCTACAAATACATTAACAGTTATCCTAAGTCAACTTATTATTGATGTTTTTGCCCTTGAATGACACTTTTATCCATTTTTTTGTGAAACTGTAGATAATGGAGAGAAAAAATAAGTCAACTCGGCGGAAATTGTTTGTTGATTCCTTATAAGATTTATTACCAGTTTCATGGTTTTATGTTTTGAAACTATAATAGTTGATAAAAGAAACTGTAAATAACAAAAATGATTAACAAAAATATAAGATCTACATATAAGTCAAATGGCCCAAGTCATCAGTTGATTTCTTACAGGAGTACTTACACTTGAAAGACTATTGATCCAATTTGTTGCAATTTTGTCGGAAACTTCATAAAATATTTGGTTTATTTCAATTTTAGGCAAAAATGGCTCCTTGGAGCCTCAAGTTTCATGTGTTCAGCATAGTTTTATGTCGATGTATATATAGTTTGATTCATTGCTCTTTTTTTTATTATGTTGCATGTTTTTTTTTCATTTTTATGTCGCCTCCTGAATATGTTTTGTTCTTAATTCAGCATTTAAAAAAGATTAAAAACATTGCATATATATGCCAGTCAGCAGGGTTTAAGAACATCAGTTTTTCGACCTGCTAGTGAAATGCGTTTTGTTAAAATGTACTTTTTCACTCATTTGGTCTTTTGGGAAATGTTGTTTGTGCTGTATTTAGACCCCTCTACCAAGAAATTTGTTTTGCATGCACACATATAAAAATTGCGGTTTTTATCCAACGCAATCATAGGTTTGAACGTTGTTTTCAATTTAGACTATATATATATATATATATATATATATATATGTGTGTGTGTACCTAAACTTCCAAATGTGTGTGTTTGCGTGTGTGTGTGTGTATGTGTTAGTGTGAACTTAATAATTCATAAATTCTAGAAACTGTTTCACTACAATCATTTTATCATCGTCAGGTATTAAGGATAATTCCTATATGTTTCAGGTGTTAATGATGACATCGTAACAGTCGATTTCAAAGAATTTTCTGGTTGGGAAGCATTTGTTTCGGAAGTTTGAACTTAATAATTCATAAATTCTAGAAACTGTTTCACTACAATCATTTTATCATCGTCAGGTATTAAGGATAATTCCTATATGTTTCAGGTGTTAATGATGACATCGTAACAGTCGATTTCAAAGAATTTTCTGGTTGGGAAGCATTTGTTTCGGAAGTTGAACTTGTAAAGTCTGGTGTAAGTGCAATACTTATCATATACAGATCTATATTAACTATTTTCATGGTCAAATTGTAAATCTGGTTTTACCCATATAACGCTTAAAAACGTATACGCAAAACTCAATTCAACATTTTCTGTTAAAAAGATTAGTCAACTGACACAACTTTGGTATCATACAATCAAGTGTAGTTTTAAATAAACGAAAAATATCGAAATTCGTCAACGTTGATGTATGGGGCAAAAGTTTCTTTATTCAAAACCTTGTCGCAAATTTTATTTGGTTACACCAATGAACATAATCATATATAATGTTACATACATATATTCCAATAATGAGTCTCCCAACCCCATTTTCATATTGCAACATAATCAACAAAACATAGAAAAACCACCAAACACACCTACAAAATAAGCACCAATTATCAAAAAGGAAGAGTAGATCAATTTAAGAACAAATAACTCCACCAATCAATATATTTACAACTTTTATACTAATAATATAAATGTATGAACAGAAGATATTGTTACAACATTTGAAAACTTTTAAACTAGCGATCACCATAGCCAAAAAAATGGGCAGACAATACCAAAGGAAATATCATAACTTAAAAGTCGAAAGGATATAGAACGACAAGAGAGCAAAAGACAAAAAAAGACGAAAAAATAAACAAGTTGACAATACATCACAAAGAAAGCTAAGGACTGAGCAACGCGAACCCCACCTTTCCCAAAAAAGATAGGTGATCTCAGGTTTTTGGAAGTGTTAGCACATTCTCTACACATGTGGCATGAGTCATGTACTTCCACTTATACCTCCAAAAAAATCTTCACTTGATTTTAAACAGAAAAATATTATCAAATAAACTCGCAGTATTAGTTGTCGAGATTAAAAGATAAATGTCTTAAAGCAGTTGCAACTTGAATGACAAACAAACACAAATATCGATGAATACACAAAATAAAAGTGTTGATGAATTATTGTTCAGTATCATTTCGTTTATTATACTTTAATAGTTTAGATTTAGAGCTTTTTTGAAATATTTTTTTTTTCAATAGAATGAAGACCAGTAAGATGTCTGGAGAAATGTTGTTAGTGGACCAGGAAACAATAATCATTTGAATTAGAATATAGACTGTTCTTGACATAAGAATTTGTAAAACAATATTTTTTGTAATTATTTAATTTATAAGTAAATGATAATGTAAATATCGTGGCTATAAGTTTTCTTTTAATCATGTATAAAAACATTGTATGCTTGACTATATATTTATATCTTATTAAAAAAAGTCTTACAAAAATATTATGTTTGCCATTTATAAACGAGAACACTCTAAATTAAATTAAAATATAGTTGATATTCTTCTCGAACCGAAAAATAAATTGATTTTGGTCTAATGATGAACACCTAACAACGTTTTATTGGTTCGCTTGGAATACCAACCAAACATGTATCTTATAGATTTGCATGTTTTCATCAGCTTAGGATAAAATTGAGAATGGAAATGGGGAATGCGTCAAAGAGACAACAACCCGACCATAGAACAGACAACAGCAGAAGGTCACCAACAGGTCTTCAATGCAGCGAGAAATTCCCGCACCCGGAGGCGTCCTTCAGCTGGCCCCTAAACAAATATATATACTAGTTCAGTGATAATGAACGCCATACTAAACTCCAAATTGTACACAAGAAACTAAAATTAAAAATAATACAAGACTAACAAAGGCTAGAGGCTCCTGACTTGGGACAGGCGCAAAAATGCGGCGGGGTTAAACATGTTTATGAGATCTCAACCCTCCCCCTATACCTCTAGCCAATGTAGAAAAGTAAACGCATAACAATACGCACATTAAAATTCAGTTCAAGAGAAGTCCGAGTCTGATGTCAGAAGATGTAACCAAAGAAAATAAACAAAATGACAATAATACATAAATAACAACAGAGATACATATTTAGTTGGAGTCTTGAGGTAGGTCATTCTTTGCGTCCAATACAACGTTTAAGTCGTGCTACCCGGAATTCTTCAAAAGAATGATTCTACAGAATGAGTGCGCTATACACATGTGGTTACTTTTGGTCTTCCTCCGACCGATCGTAAAACTCTTTCCAAAGTGGAGCATCCATTTGGGTGTGTGGGTGTATAGATATGCAACAACGTCCTGTCAAAATGGGGGCATTAATTCAATGCATTGTGTATAGAGAGTGTCCTGATATCTACACGTTAAAAATCCTTTTACACCTCTTTGATAGGTCCGTGGGTGACCTGTGGCTATATTTTATATCTGATACAATCCAATATATTCTCATTTTCTCATTTTCGAGTCAGTCCAAATCTCCCACCATTAATCCCATTCGATCACTAATACAAACACGACTTACCAGTTGTATGTAATGTAAACTTGTTCTCGACATGAATATGCATGAAATATTTGTCATTGAACGTTAAGCAATCAATTAATTATGCATATCAATGAATGACCGTAAAATGGATACATTGTATTCGTGATTACACATTTTATTTAGATCGTTCATGTATTGTACAAAGTAATAGAATAATAATTCAAAGATCAATTTTGACAATTTTTTTATAATAAAAAATCAGACGTTTCATTCTGCTTAGCACTAAAAAAATCCCGTATATATTGACTCGGTAGCTTCGCAGAAAAGATTTTTTCAACAACAAAGTGCTGAAATGATAATTTTATTTTCAATTTATTTTCAGCTATGCGTTAAACTTTCAGGTCATATAGGAATGTCAATACGAACCACATTTTGTAATCATAAACCTACACTATATCGTGAAAACAAAACAAAAACAACACCTGTTACTAAAGTTTGAAAAAGGTTCTAGTATTACAGAACTACAGTAACACAATCGGGAAGACGACACTTGTTATCACAGATCTACATACACTTACCTAATAACAACCATATTCACTCGTTGCCTTGTAATAACAACCTGTTTAATATTGTTATTTATACAAAATATATAGCCGGACATGATAGCCGTGTATGTGATAGCTGTAGTGATCTGCATGTCCGAGGCAGAAAAATGTTTTCAGGAAAAGGAGGCAAAACTCATCAACGGAATAAAAGCGTCTTTAAAAACGATGCAAACGAACATGAAGGGTGTACATCAAATGGTAGAAAAACTTGAAGTTAATATCAAAGGTAAAGTTTTCAATTACAACATCATTATAGACAAAATATATCTCTTTAAAGTTTGATCAACAAAATAATCAAGATTTGGCTTAAGTAAATCTAGGAAATAGAATATAAATTCACTTTATCTTTTCATTTCAATGTAATAAGAAACGTTACTTTGACAGCATTACTTCTTTCAACTAAAACAACAACAAAAAACAACCCTAAAACAATAGAAATACAATTTATCAGGAAACCAACGCATATTTGGCTTAATTTGCCGCCAAAAACGCTTGCTAAATAGTCCTAAGTTTTTGAAATGAAGACAAAAAAAAAAGATTTGTACCGAAAGATAGATTCAAAATTTTTAAATTCAGTATTGTAAGTAAACTGAAAATTGTTGTCTAATTGTTAAAACAGTAATATTTATAAAAACAAATGCTACCAAAGGCCATTTACAAAATATTAAATATGCATTTGCATTTGCAGAGAAATCAAACATTTGCAAAAAAGGATGGAAAGAATATAAAGATCATTGCTACATTTATCAAAAAGTCAAAAAGTCATGGCGGATGGCAGAGGTAAAGCTGAATCTATTTATATTCAATCTTATATTTTTCATTTTTTTTTAATTGGAATTCTGTGTGATGAAAAAGTATTTTGTTAACGTGATTCTAATATATTCTTATTCAGAAACACTAAATTAGAATGCTTACAATTACTAAACGCAAATGATTAGGCTATCCTTTTAAAAATGAAAATTATGAAAATGATATTATATTTGACAGTAATCATGGTTATCGATGAGTATAAAACATTATCACTTATTTTGATGCCTGATTGGGGTGAATAGTACAGCTATTTTATAAAGGTTTATCCATGTTTGTTAATCGTCAAATGAACTAGGGTACTGACGTGAAGAAATTGTTACTCTTCTTTGTTAGAGTTATGCATTACATTATTACATTTATTTTCTATAATATACTTCAAATAATGTCAAATGATTATATATATACGTCTATAATATAAAACGTTATTTTGTGCTATATGAACATTTGGAACCTGTTTGTTTCCATGTTCTATGTAAAGATATATAAAAAGTGTACATATTCCAATTACAGAAGCAATGTCGGACAATGGGAGGATATCTTGTTAAGATAGAAGATGTTTCAGAACAGAATTGGGTAGTGAAAAATGTAAAAGGTATACTATGATAATTCAGTTAAAATTTTAATGTTTATTAAATATTCATTTATTGATAAACTTTATAGAATTTTGAAAGGATTGAAGAATTTCGCAATGGTTTGCAAGTATAGGGACTAAACTATGCTCATATCATAACTACTCTCGTTTGTCCTTTTTCAATACGAGTATACCCGTTTTAACTGCAAATCAAATTTCCTGTCCAGCATTGCGGTCGACCTTTGTTTAAAGTTAATTTCTTAACTGTTTGTTTTACTGCTAATTTATTCTAGATCTGTATACATTTGTACATTTATGTAAGAAATAATTGTAACTTAGCGCAAAACAAATCAAAATACACTAATCAAACCATCACAAACTGTTAGAATGAGGAACTTACTACAATTAGTCGCCATCTTGCATCGAATTACTAATGATAAAGATTGATATTTTTAAGCCGACATACTTGTTTTAAATCACTCCATGGTGTGAGTGGAAATATAAGGAAAATGTTGTTGATTGTTTTCCTATTGGTGTTGTTCACTTTTGGACGCTTATACTATTGTGTATATGTATACAGTTACCGCAGCATTGGAAAGGGGCACACACCCGTGCATATGCGTACGATATATTGTGTATAAAAATGAACGAATACGATCAGTTTGTTCTTAACCTGTTTCAGATGGCAAGCTTGGTTCAACATGGCTCGGAGCTTCAGATGCTGGGAAGCAAGACTGGAGATGGGCATTTGATTTGTCTAAAGTTACATATAGTCTTTGGAACCGAGGTCAACCCGATAACGGCGGAAATGTTGAAGGTTGCTTGGAGCTTCGATCTGTATTTGGGTATAAATGGAATGACATTCCTTGTTCTACTATTAACTCCTACGTTTGTGAAAGTCAACAGGTAATTCTAATAATCTTCGTTATTGTATATACAAAGACATTGCGCATTACATTCGCGCGCATTTTGGGATCAAAATAGTTTACGTTGGTTCGCAGATTTTGATTAAATTTGCGTGCATCAATTTTACAGGTAACACAGGTAAACGTAAGGATATTTCGTAGTAAATGTGTCTAGTTATTAATTTTGAACATATCTGAAATCGTATTGAATTTTAAACAAATAAAAAGTTATCATGAGAATATGTAACTTAAATAGTATTCTTTTTCTAATTTTACCGAATAGTAATCCCTTTAGTAAATGATTTTAGTAAGTTTGTAAAGTCCAATGTAAAGTTGCGTCATGAACAAACTCGGAGTTCCGTTTCTCTGTATCAACAGAATACTTAAGTCAGAGGGTATTGCAAAGGCAGGATAAAAACTGATCAACAATCAACAGCCATTCTGAATGATAACTGTGAACATACACACGCCTGTGTCCTATTCTAAAAAACTTGAAGGCAGATTATCCATGCGGTTGTAGATATAAAAGCGATAGCTGACATAGCAGCTAGGCCTATGAATTAAGTCCACTCTGAATCGATGAATATAAAAGAAAACAAACCCCATTGAGAAAGACCTGAAAAGTTTGACAATGACCATACACCTCGAAACGCGTAATTCAGTAATACCGAACACTACCTAAGTCAAAAGATTCCTATAATTTTACATTTTAATCTGTATATATTTCTAGGATTTAGTGCTTGTACGTAATAAAATTGACTTATCCTGCTCAAAATCCCTCTTCCACATCCTCGTTGGTGAGCAGGGAACTTAGACTAACGGACGGTGTACTTGTATTTGTAAATAATTAGATAAATAAATAACAGATAAATAAATGTATAATACTTAAATGAATAAACAATAGTTAAATAAATATATAATACTTAAATAAATATATAATACTTAAATAAATAATCAACAGTTAAGTAAATAAATAAATAAATAAAAATTATAAACTACCTGCATTTACCTGTAAAATACATGCGCGCAAATGTAACCAAAATCTGCGCGCAAAAGTAGTGATTTTTAGGCGCAAATGTGAAGAACGGCATGATAAACAGTATTTTTAGGTTAATCTACTTGAAAAAATTTTGGCAATTTATTACTTGTTGGACTTTCGTATGAAAATATTGGATGACAGTGATAATTTTTCTTATTCAGCTCCACCTAAGCTTCGTGAATAATGTATAATAATAAGATTGATTGATTGTTGGTTGCTTAACGTCCAGTGGCAAATATTTCATGCATGTTCAGGACGAATATAATAATAAGAAAATCGGCTAACGACTAAGTAGACAACCTGTTTCCATATGTTTAAATATGTGATTTCAAACACAAAAAATGAATAATGTCACCATCTGCACCATTCATTTACAAATTTTGACAGAAATAATGATACTAATGACATACCACCTTTAACTGGTGCTTGAAGATATACTTTCTCCCAGAAGTGAGCTCTTTAATTTTGTTAGCATAATGCTTCTAGTCGTAGAAGTCACCAACCGAACAAACGAAATTATCGGTCGTGAATGTAGTCCATTGTAGCAACTGAATTCAATGTGAACATTTTAAAAACTATTACATCTTTTAACATGTTCCTGATAGTGATTTGTATTATGAGTTTTTCAAAGAAGAGGGATCAAAATAAAAAAAAAATACACTGGTTCATGTATATGATGTTTTATCTAAGTAATCAGCTTAATTTATATATTTTCAGGGAGTATCATGTCAGCCATATTCAAAATTGTTAGTGAAGAGATAAAACCTTTAATGAATGCTATCAGAGATTGATGAATGATTTCTGTCTGATATCTTAATAAATAAAATTTGAAATAGTTACATTCCATTTTCACGGTTAAAGTTTCGAACTCTTTAAATTTCAAAACATGGGATGATGTAAAGAGGGTACTTTACAATCATACAGGTAAACATAAGAAAAAAATAAAAAATAAAATAAAAATAAATTACTAACAAACAAACAGACATCCACGATAAAATGAAAATAGAGAAAAACACTTTGACCAATTATAAGGAAATCAGAAAATTACTGTCATGTGATCTCATTAATGACTGTTTACTTCTATTGTATAAAGGTGGCGTAAAAGAAAATCAATCAGTCCATCAGTTCTATTGTACATATCAAATATGACGAAGTTGAGGTCTTGCTATAATATTGGAAACCAAAATAATAGACATTTAATACGTGTAATGGTCAATCGTCACTCTTTTTTATTTTGGAAAATTTCTGCGTATGAATATTTGCACTAAAATGTCGTCATTCACCTAAAAAGCTAACCAAACCTTTAAACAGACTTGTTAAGAAGGAATATAGTTGCGATACTGTTGTCAGGTCATTAAAGATGGCATGTTTTGGAATTAATATTGATTCACTCATAGGGTCTTTGCATCGGAAATAAACACATGTATTCTTAAATCAGTTGTTGGCATGATACGGGTTTTGCTCTCATATATTTTATTATGGTATAATAGTAAACCACTTATGGGAGGAATTGTGCTTCCGTCTTGATTTTCATATGATGAAGACATAATCTTTCAGTCAGTTTAATTGAGGTCTGGAGCTTGTATGTCAGTAACTGCTATACTCGGATATGTTCCTTATGTCGTAACTACAATACCCTTCCCTTTTCACGAATGACATAACATAAGCAACACGACGGGTGCCACATGTGGAGCAGGATCTGCTTACCCTTCCGAAGCACCTGAGATCACCCCCAGTTTTTGGCGGGGTTCGTGTTGCCTAGTCTTTAGTTTTCTATGTTGTGTCATCTGTACTATTATTTGTCTGTTTGTTTTTTTATTTTTTGGCCATGGCGTTGTCAGTTTGTTTTCGATCTATGAGTTTGACTGTCCCTCTGGTATCTTTCGTCCCTATCTTCTAGTAGTCCTTTGTTCATTTATGTATCATTGTCATTTTGCTTAGTTTCTTTTGTTACCTATTCTGACATCGGACTCGAAATTCTTTTAAACTGATTTTTACTGTGCGTATTGATGTGTGTTTGTTTATTTTACATTGTCAAGAGGTATTGGGAGAGGGTTGAGATCTCACAAAACATGTTGAACCCCGACGCATTGTTGCGCATGTCCCAAGTCAGGAGCCCCTGGCCTTTGTTAGTCTTGTATTTTGTTTTTAATTTTAGTTCATTTGTGTGTTTTGGAGTTTAGTGTGACATCCATTTTCACTGAACTAGTACACATTTTTGTTTAGGGGCCAGCTAAAGCCCGCCTCCGGGTACGGGATTTTCTCGCTGTGTTAAACGTTGGTGGCCTTGTGCTGTTTTCTGCTCTTTGGTCAGGTTGTTGTCTATTTGACACATTCCCCATTTCGATTCTCAATTTTATTTTATTGGTATATTCCGCTTCTCTATTTAAAGTGGGTATGGAAAATACCAAATAGATATTCAAACTAAAATTTCGATGAAAAAACTAACAACGTCATAGTGACAAATATAAAGCGACAAAAACATAAACTGTCGGAAAAAACAACATAAACAAAAATTAAAACAGGGCAACGCGAACCCCGAAAAAACCAGGAGGTGATCTCGACTTCTCCGACAGAATAATAAGATCATGCTCAACATGTGGTTTAACAATAACCGACAAAATAATCACCTTATAGTACATTACAGTAAGACGTTTATAGCAAAACGATCCTTTCCAAATGCCCTATCATTTTGTTCTACTCTCTGTTTGGTGTGTTTAAAAACGGTAACTTACAAATAAGTATTTAGATTGTCATACCTAGATTATATTTACATGTAATCATAGGTTTTTTTATGTTGAAAACTTTGTTCTTCGTAAATATAGAAATAATTGTTTTGGTTTGACTAGCAACTATAATTCATTCACTAAAAACTTACTAATCATATACAAAGTAGTATTCAGAAAAACTGACAACGCCATTGCAATTGAAAAAATACGAAAGACAGGGCCTATTACAGTTTACTATTACGGGCCGTTTATAGTTACTGTTGATAACCTTTTACAATACTCAAGCCCTTTAAAGCTTACTATTTGGAACCAGTTTGGCTCATTGACAAAAAGTAGTATGATGACCTTTAATCTTTATCCTTTAGTTTTTATATATAATAGTTGTAGCATTCGCAAAAACACTTCATCTCCTTATTTATTGTATTATGCATGTTAAATTTATCATTTTGTTTTACATATTTTAGTTTCCTAGTTGATTAAGGGATCTTAAATAAAATGTCGTTACTCAGATGTCTCATATTTTGATGAACAACATTTTATTACGTACACGTAGAATGAAGCCATATTCTTAATTAAAATGTATATTACAGAAGTTGAAATAAAAAAATACCTTTACATATAGTTTTTGGTCAGAATGCTCTTCCACAAAACAACAAAACTGAATTTACTTGATCCATTTTGTTTATGACTAGATGTCTTCTATCTGTTTTTGTCGCTAGGTTGCTATCATATTGAAGTTAAGAGTGCCCGCGGTTACTAAAAATAAGCCTATATACTTAACGTGCTGATATTAAATAATGTAGTTATACACTTTTATATCGGTGTCCATCCTCAGATAGTTTTCATCATAAAATCAGAAGATGTGGTATGAATGCGAATGAGACAACTATCCACAAGAGACCAAATGACGTTGAATTTAACAACTATAGGTCACCGTGCATCCTACAACAATGAGTAAAACGCATACCGAATAATAAGCTATACAAGTCCATGAAATGAGAAAACTATCGGCCTGACTTATGTACGAAACAATAAACAGAAAACAAATATTATATTTAACAAACGACAACCACTACTGAATTACAGTCTCCTGACTTGGGACCGGCACATACAGAATGAGGTGGGTTAAACATGTTTGCTAGCACCAGGGACAGTGTTGTAACAGTACAATATGAGTACAAACTATAAAAATCATTTGAAAAGGGCTTAGCTCATCAAATCGACACAAAACAAAAAAAGGACAGACCGGACGTGGCACAAAGTACAGATCTGAAAGCACTCGAAAATACTGGAAGCTAGTCCAAAGCCCATAGCAGGTTGTGTATCTAGGACTAAAATATCAATCAGTACAAAACCAACATCCAATGGATTTAGTGTACAGACGTCATTAAGAGTCAAAATAAAGGTATCGACAGATTGTAGGACCGTGAATTTACATATGTATATAACAATACTATTTATAATATAAAATTATTGGTATAATTGCCAATGAAACAACACTCCACCAGAGACCAATTAACATAGAAGTTAACAAGTCAGTTGGGTTTAAATTCATTGGTAATAAAATCAATATGTTCACCGACAAATTATAGAAATTTCAAAATCACTGAAGGACGATATGATCGTATGCAGTGTGCAGAATTTCAATGACATAACAACAACAAATGAAAGACTTCAAACTAATCTTGTTATTCACTATAAAAAAAACGAAATTGGAATACAGATGTATGGCATTTATATTATTATGAACAAATCGGCAGAAACACAGATCACAATGATAAATACACAAATGTACCCGAAATAAACAACACCAGCAACAACAACACCGTATAAACACCACCAACACCACCATCACTACCACCACCAACAACAACAACAACAATAATAATAATGCAACAACAACAACATTGAACATAAAAATAATAATAATACTGTCATTTATTTCAAAACATAATCGCATCTTCTTTTTTACAAATATTACACACATATAATAATGTGTAAATGTTAGGTGCAATATGTTATAAAATATGTTGTTAGCAAGTTATTCGAATAAAGGATATTTAAAGATACCATTGAATAGCAATAACCGATGATATATCTGATTACATCCTGGATAGGGGTCAAAACTATCTCAACATGTCCATAGTTTCACCTATTCTATATATTCTGAGTAAGAAGTTTGTCTTATTTTGCCTTTACCAAATCGTTGAACAAATATACTAAGAAATACATAGGTTTGGTTAAAACTTTAATATTAAGTTGATTTTAACTCCTCGTGCTTCGATTAAACCGACTCATCGTTAGTTTAAAGCATTGGTTGCATAAAAATCCAACTTAGTTACAAACGTTTCATTTAGAATCTTTTGTAAGAATCCGAGATGTCTTGCTTTAATTTATTGATAAATCGCGACAACAACACAAGAACGAAACACCGTTATTCTGTTTTTATTTTCAACTTGTTTCAGTTCCAAGTTGACATTTCTCAGTTCCAACTTGACTTTGTTATTTCTAAATTGACATTTTTTCAATTTATCAAGTTTATATTTCAAGTTAGAAATGAGAAATGTCAACTTTGAACCTACAACAGTCAGATTTGAAGACAGAAATGTAAAGTTCTAAGCGAGATATATATCTACTTCGAAGTGAGAAATGTTAAGCTGGAAGTAAGAAATGCCAATTTGGAACTGAGAAATGTCAACATAGAACTGAGAAATGTGTATTTAGAACTTAGAAATGTTAACTAGGAACTGATAAAAGTCACGTTTTAAGAGAGAAATGTAAAGCTGGAAGTGAGATATGTCTACTTGAAATGAAACACATTCAAATTTAGTTTAAAAAAGGATCAAATGCAGCATTGCAGTTGTGCTGTCCAATAAATCCAGCAAACAACAAACATCAACCATTAGGCTTCAAATAACAACCGGTATTGACATGAGCTACTTTATAATGGTAGTCTTACTTTGCATGCGAAATAGATTGTTTGACAGATGTCAAAGCTGACACGAGTAGAGCCTAATTTGATTAAGAATTTGAAGCACTTTAGGAAATAGCATTAAGACTTAAATGTCTTGTTTACACAAACTGTATTATAAATAAGTATTGGAAA